CACGAAAGGTGAGCTGTTACGGGGAAGGACCACGCTCTCACAGAATACCAGCATAAATAGCAACTCATAGCTACTGTGTTTCGTATGGTGAATGTAGAGAACTAGATACGAGGCATTTCATCTTAGTCTTCAGTGGTGACAACGTTCTGCATTTTCATTCTATATTGAAGATAAATGTAGATGTCTATGGGCCACAACATCATCTTACCATCAGATGAACTGTGTGCTCACTTGTTACCTACTCTTATTCTTAAAAAAAATTAACAATTTTTATTATAAACCTAAAATATACACAAAGAAGAGGATATTTTTAACCTAACAAGACCTGTATTAGTATGACTCGAACCGGATGTATGCCAATTGTAAATATAATGAAAGTTAATGATGTCATTGTATCATTTAAGTTCTTAGCCCTCGCTTTCATTAACTTGTCTCGAAGGTCGGACTCGGAAATGTTGCCTTTTAATTTACAGTATGCTTACATTGATCAAAGACAAATCTAATAAAATACAGTTTATAAGACATTATGTAGCTACAGTTGTCTTTGTTTCAAATATATAAGCACACATCGTTTTATATCTTTATGAATAAAAATTACGTGTCGCATTGTATGTCCGCGATTAACTCTGAAACCACTCAACTGATATGAATAAAATTATGTAAATGTGTATTGCTTGCTCCAGGGAGATAAGATTTATCCCGTAAAGTGACTCTCCATATTTTTTATTGCGAATTTAGGAACGTACAGAGGACAAAGGATAGGACAGAGGACAAGGATAAAGGATCGTCGAAATGGGCAAAATAAAATCTGCCAGGCCAGCTATTTTAAACATATATATGTATACTCATTCTATTTCACGACGAAGGTTTGACTTTGGTTGTTGTTAGCCGTGCACACACACATTGTGTTAGTGTGCGTAAGCCTCTGGAGCGCTCGTCACGATCGCGAGTCGAACGAACAAATACAAAGGCACCTGTCGGTACACGTCACCATTACAATCAAGACGAAACCTTGTATCGTGAAATAGAATAACTATAACATTACTCCATTATTCATATTATTCATCCATGACAAAAAACCAACAACTATAACGGATATTCTGAATGCTGTATAGCGCCTAAGATGTGAATCACTTGATAACTGGTGCAGGCCAGAAACAAAAACCAAAAAAAAACCGCCAATCCCGTTTAAGCAGGACCGTTACCGTTACAGCTTCTTAAAGTCCACTGCTGAACATAGGCCTCCTCCATAGACTGACTCATAAAGGGGTTATTTGCCACAGTTGGCACGCTTGGCAAGCGGGTTGGCAACCGCAGGTTTTTATTTTTAGTCTTTATTAGGAAGACTCTGCTGCCCATCTCCTGATATGTTCCCCTCTGTCGCCTCTTACGACACCCACGGGATGATATGGGGTACTGGATATTCTTACATCATTGACATCATAATCGATTCGTAATCAAAGTTAAATGTAAATGTCTATGGGCCACAGTATTCACTGTCCGGTGTGAATAAGACCCACGCACATAACGGTTGGGTCATACCTGTCCTCATGTATACCTTTGGCATACTCAGGTGCTCTCAGACTGAACTTAACGCCCTGGATAGAAAAGTCCACACTACCATGACGTCGGTAATGAGGCTGTACTTGCCGCGAAAGCGTGGTGGGCGTGGCTTTTTAAGGGCGGTCAGTAATTACATCGCCACTACGCGGTAACCCAGGCAAAACAGTTACAGAAAATGTGGAGGATTTGGACCAGATTTGGAGCAGTAGACTGATATTGTCTGATTATAATTCGTAGAAATCTGTAATCGTTAGGAGCAAGTTTGCTGTAACGGTATTTAAAGGTGCGTTAGTCACTTTAAAACGTCATGAATAAAGCACACTAGATGTTAAATAAAATGTTTTTTTTTAAACTGAAATGAGAAACGGCCTTACAGTTTACTTGAGGGGCCAATTTCAAACAAAGAAGGCTAAAAATGCACTGACACCGATATCACTCAGCTTTATTGTGAATTTCTAATGCGTCTAGACACGTGGTAAATAAAACGCAGTCTGCACAAATAAAGTGTAGTAAGAAAAATGCATCGTACTTTTCTTATTACACTTTATTTGTCTACGGGTTAACGATGTATCTGTATGACCCTTAAATTACGGGATTCGTCCAATTTCAGCGCAATGAACTGCGTTCGTCCATTTTTATTCATTTGTTTTTTGTAGCGTTAAAGAAAACCGTACATAGTAACGGTAAATATATTTTGCTGCAGTTTCGATTTAGAATGGTACCTATTATAATACATGTAAAAAACGGCCAGTGACTTCATTTTTTTTTTGAACATGCAATTATTTTCTTTACTAGATGTAAAATTACACTGTCTTGTGTTTTTTTTTTAATATAAAATTGTTTTGAGTTTTATATATTATTATTCATTTTATTCATTTTTTTAAATAATTGGGTCACAAACAAGCACACAGTCCACCTGACGGTAAGTGGATGCTGTGGCCCATAGACATTTAATTTATCCTCAGTTAAGAATCAATATGCAAATGCGTTGTCACCCCTGAGGACTAAGATGAAATGTCTCGATTTCAGTAAAAAGCGTCTCCGGTTCTTTACGCTCACCATACGAAACACAACAGCATTAAGATGCTGTTTTACGCTAGTACTCTGTGAGAGCGTGGTCCTGCCCCGGTCGAGCCGACCCATTTGTGCTACAACTATAATATAACTGCAGGGTCCCCGCAGGGCTGCGCCACCAAGAAAAGCTGACACCCTTACCCCACCCAACGAAAGGGGTCATTAGATGATTTTCCATCCGCAAAAAAAAAAAAGTGTCTGTACCCACGTAATTCATAGTTTCTTGCTATGACGTTCTAATATAATGTTATCGTTTCTTATGTTCTTTTTTGTTACCGTTACAGCCTATTTAAGTCCACTATTGAACATAGGCCACCCTCCATAGATTGTCTAATAAGGGGGATATTTGCGATAGTTGCCACCAACTTTTTTCAATTTTTGGTCAATTTGTTTTTGGTCGTTATCAGGAAGACGCTGCTGCCCATCTCCTGATTTGTTCCCCTCTGCCGCCTCTTACGACACCCACGGGATGGTTGAGGGGAACAAATCGAGATGGGTGGTGGATATTCTTACACCGCCACTACACGGTAAATGCGACGGGTTGTTCGTTATGGGTATTTAGAATTTCAAACTATGTATTACTAAACGTAGCCTCACGAGTCGATGCACTATTTTATTTTGTAATTGTCAGCTGTATTGTAACTTATTCGACGTCAATGTCGTGATTACTGTACGCTTTCCTGACGCTATCTGACGATGTTTGGTATGACAAGTTCATAACGATATGAGTTGTTACGTTCACTGAGTATTACCGTAGATGACTGCCTCATTGGTCTACTGGTCGTAAACGCGACAGCTGACCATGAGGTCTAGGGTTTGAATCCTGAGGCAATAAAAATCAGTTATTGAGTTTTACCGTCAAGAAGTTTTCAGTAGCTGCCCGGAGTCAGGAAGTTGACGGTGTCTCACCCCCGTGCCTCGGAAAGCACACTAAGCCGTTGGGGTCCCGCGCCTGATCTCTCTCCGGTTGTGTCGGTTTGCCATCCCATTGGACTATGTGAGTGAGGGAATAGAGAGTGTACCTGAGCTTGTGCATACACTTGGGCACTATAATCCTGTCCTGCGCCGATGGCTAGTCTTCGTTGAGGCAGGTCGCCGTGGCCGAAATACGGTCAGGAGGATTATTATTACGGTAGATGGTAGATATGTAATGTTGCAGGAATATTAGATTAATTTTGCGTTTCAGTGACGCTGTTTAACTTGAACTAAAATTTAACCACACGAGTCGATAACCTAATAAGAAAAGGGAACTATTTGAATCCATTGCTCGTTAGAACTTTTCAAGATTATAAGAATATCTCTATATTTAAAAATCAGTTGCTGGACCGATTTTGATGAATGTTTTTGTGTTTTAGTAGATCCTTGGATGGTTTAGATTTACAATTCGATCCGATAGGTGGCGCTGTTGTCGAGATCCAGATATCACCCGTGCGAAGCTGGGTCGAATCGCTGGTGCCTAATAAATAGACATGTGTCAACCATTCATTTCTCGTGACTGAATCATTCTAGTACATTTCGTCACGCGTACCGGTACATTCGGATCGATCATTCAAATGGTTATATTTCGGGCTCCAGTACCCTACACTAAAACAATTTCAGATCCTTCGGGATTCGGTCGGTTTTAGACTCATTCACAATTCACACCAATCACGAGTTAAAAAGATTCTGTCAATTGTTTGCTATTGGTTGTACCGGAACATTCAAAAACAGATGAATGAACTATCAATACTTTTAAGTGTACCAGCCCAAACGAACGAATTATTCATGATTGACACATGTCAACTAATATAGTATTTCTTAAAACATTTGCCTGCATTAACGTTAAGTGACGGGTCGGTGCAACCAGAGTCGATATTATTACGAGTCGGTTGCTGGAATCTGATTCCACAATCGGCGAGTGGTAAAAGATACGATACCTGGTCTACTCAATTATTTTTCAAATAAACTTTATTATAATTTATAATATAGTTGGTATAAGTAGTTTTAATTTACCGCCAGTAGAGCGCCGACGAGGTGCTAAACTAAGACGTTGCGGATATTTAATCCGTCACTGGTTACCACCCTTTTAGCTATCTCTGCCGCCGAATAGTCCGGGACACCAGAGGAAGCTTTCCCAATTTGAATTATTACCATCTGTTGTAAGAATAACTTGGTGGGTCAAATCCTTTTCTACCTAGGATTTAAAGATAAACGTAGACGTCTATGGGCCACAGTATCCACTTACCATCAGGTGGACGGAGTGCTTGTTTGTCACTTTAATTCTATAATTCAAAAAATTTGCCTCCCACTATGGAAGCAAATTTAATCACGTGAATTCATGTCAAAAAAGCTGGTGCCTAAGTGTGTTGTGTGTCGTGTGGCAGGTGTACCTGGCTACGTGATGGATGGCGTGGTGGTGGTGGGCGAGCGCGAGGCGGCGCCGGCGGGCTACAGCGTGGCGGGGCGCGCGGGCAAGCGGCGTCTGTGCACGCGCGTCTCACGCCCAGCCGCCGCGCCCCGCGCCCCCCTTACACCCGTCACCGACGTCATCGTCTGCTCCAAGATGCGACAGGCGCCGCGCGGCTTTCTGCTCGCCGGGTAACTTTTTTAAATTTGTTGTGCATTGGCTACGAGGCTTTCTGCTTCATTATCTCGTAAAGTACATGTTGTGGTTTGATCGTCACGATTGATAGGCGGTATGCCGATCACAATACCATCTCACACTTTTAACGCTGCCACCCGTCGCAGATCTGGGTATTTACCTAACCTTGTATCTGCTACAAATATCATCCCGTGAGTGTCGTAAGAGACGACAGAAGAAAACTGAACCAGAAGATGGGCAGCAACATCTTCCTGACAGCAACCCAATCCGCTTGCTAAGCGTGGCAACTGTGGCAAATGTACCCTGTATGGGAATAATCTATTTGTCCAAAACCACACACATACATAAACGCGCGCGCACGTGCACACAAGTACGCATGCACTTTGTACATTTCTTTTGGGACAAGACACCAGCTCCAAAGGTAGAGGTTCCACCTATATTAGACTTCACGTTTATTTGTTAAAAGTTATTCACTATTAATATATATATATATACATATATATATATATATATATATATATATATATATATATATATATATATATAAGGAAATGATAAATATACATAAATATATATTTAATATACTAACATAAATAAATAAATAATATACAAATAAATAAAGCTCAACCAGATGGAAGCCCTCGGTAGGGGAGACCAAACGGCCAAGGGTTAGGGGAGAGGGAAAAAACCAACGGACAATGCGGGTGGTATCGAGATTATTATTATTATTATTAACTTTTTTATCAATATCTAGACCACACTAATTAGGATATTTTTTTATTTATTTATTCTGAACAATACAAATTGTGTTGAATAATACATGCAAAAATACAATTGAAAATATTAACAACTAAATTTACAACTATACAAAATTACAATAAAAATATGAGATTACAATAATTAGTATACAATTAAATTATATAAAATGGCAATAACTATAAAATTACAATAAAAATTACAAGTCAAATCTCACCACTATCCATAAAATTTAAAGTATTAAATATCAAACAAGAATAATAACTACATTTGTTAGAGAAAAAATGCAATTATTTCTTAAAATGTCATCAAAAGTTTAAAAACATTGAATTTTATGTAATAGCCTTATCATGTAGATACTCGTCAACACTATAATAACATTTTTCCAGTAGGAACTTTTTTAAAGTATTTTTGAAGCTACTCCTGTATAACATATTTTTTAAATCAATAGGTAATCTATTAAACAGAAGCACTCATTGATAATGAGAATAGTGTCTACTCATAACCATACGAGTGATGATTTTATTATGAAAGTCTTTTCTCCTGGTGTTTTCCCTTATGTTTTTTTGGTCTATAGTCTCATAATCGCCAATAACTTTAGCAAATTGTGTAAGTAAGACCAGTATATACAGGCATGGAACAGTCAAGATACCAAGTCTTTTGAAATGCATGCGACATGATTCTTGCTGTTTTATCCGGACCATGGTTCTGATTGCCCTTTTTTGCAGAACAAAGGCTTTGTGTACATTATATTTAAAGCTCCACCAATGCGTAATAAACCAGTTTCAGATGTTCATGCTTCATCCCGTAAGCTTCTTAGTACGTAACAAGCTGAGCTTATTTTACTTTCAATCTCGTCTAATTCATATTTCCACTTTAATTTACTGACTATCCTCACTCCTAAGAATTTAGCCACTTCTACAGATTGTATTGTTTTATCACCTAGTGTGACCTGCAGAGATGTGTTATTACTGACGTTATTGCGGAATAACATCACATTTGTTTTATTGGTGTTGATCGACAAGCCGTTGACAGTAAACCATATTCTAAAGGATTCCAATATTTGGTTTATTTTAATTTCTAGTGCCGCTATTTAGGAGGCTGAGATAACAGCATTAGTGTCATCTGCAAAGAGGACTAGGTTTTTGAAGTCTGTCGTTCTACGTACATAATGGCTTAAATCATTTATGAAAATAATAAATAAAACGGGTCCTAAAATGGAGCCTTGAGGTACACCCGCTTTAACATTAATCATTTTGGACTTCACTATTTCAGACATACTATCGTTCACCGTTTTTATTTCTACGAACATTTTTCTGTTATTCAAGTAGGATTGAAATAGTTTCAGAGCCTGTCCTCGAACCCCATAATAGTGCAATTTTTCCAAAAGAGGATCATGATTTATGGTATCAAACGCGGAGCTCAGATCGAGAAAGACTGCAGCTACCTTAAATTTGTTATTTAATCGAACTGGTGAACAAAGGTATCAGCAATTTGATCTGGTTCGTGAATAATATTTTTGTCTACCTTTAGCATTAGTTGTGTTTGTATTTTTCCCGCTAGGTTTCTATGGCTGTTAATGAGGTTCCATACACTTTTGGATAAATTTTTGGAACGAGCGATCTCATTTTGAACTGCATCTTTTTTTGTTAGTCTAATTATTTTCCTGTAAATTCTAATTATTCGTTACGGTACCTGACGATTGTTTCGTCATTATGAGATCCTTTACTTGTGCAAAGAAACCGTTTTATTTGGCTTGATACTTTTATTCCTTTAGTCCATCGTAAATTTGATTTCTTGTTAGTGTTTACTATTTTATTTTTATTCTTAAAACAGTCATCAAATAACGCTTTAAATTTACTTAGAAATGTGTTCATACCCGTTGAGTTCCAATCACAATTAATTAAATTCTGTCTAAAGACAGATTTATTATTTTTGGTTAAAGCTCTTTTCTTCATATAAACTATGTTGTTTTTGTATGTTTATTATTGATACATATTACATAATCGATACCTATTTGAACTATTTTAGTAGTATCGTTCGTTCACTCACTCACGACTCCATTAGTATTTTCATATTAGTGAGGATGTGAACGAGTGTCTTCAATTTACTATCAATTTACACTTAAACGTGGCAATTCACACATCACATCACTAATGACGAATGTGGCGCAGCAAGTGGAAAATGGGGCATTAACATATTTAAACCCAGATCTATACGACGACAACATAAATAAGCAATGCGTGATTCAATGTTTATAATTGATTAAGGATAATTTCTCATTCTCATGGCTCCCAATGACGCGACATAATATAATGATGAGATACATGGTCTATTTCATGTGTATTATATGAATGTGTCAATATTGTAAAGAGATAGATACTATTCATTTGGAAATAAGTTTTTTTTTAATATAGAGGGCAACATATTATGACATAGTTTTTATGGCACATAATGAAATAACATGTAAAACAGAAAATAATAAAAAATATTAAGAAAGAAATTTAGAAATAATAAACTTAGGTAAGGTACTGGTAACATCGTTTTATAAGAAATCATTGAAAATCAGTTCAATTTACCTAATCAATTTATTTCTTGAAATTTTGTAATTAAATCAATATAATTAATTTTAGTGAGATCAACGGCAAAATGGTGTGCTACAAGTTAAGCGGCGGCAGCACGGACACGTCACCAACGGGACCGCCTAACGAGTATGAAAATGTCGTTACCAATGTCACGCCCGAGGCTAACAGGAGGTGAATATATTTATAATCTAAGAAATATCCTATGCACATTCTACAGGGATTGAAAAAGTTTAATATACTAGAAAACTTTTTTACCGTCTGGAAAAAATATGATGTAACAGGTGAACGGAGTGGAAGCCTATGGCACTGATATATTACAAAAAATAAAAACAAATTTTTTTAATAAAATAAATAAATCAATTAAAATCTATCGAAACTCAAATCATATGTTTCTGCGTGTGTTTCGGAAACATGTACCAATACTCTAATGTCGAGTATCTAACAATGACGAGATTTTAAGTCTTTTCTAGTAAAAACTTACACGGTACGACGAATCGATATTTACCCATGTTGGAGTTTATGGATTGATTTTACCCATGTTGGTCGATTGACGAGAGTAACGTATCTACAATGACACGTTCCGCCATGGACACAATGTTAGAAAACGTTCCTCTGAGCCATCTGCAAGTAATGTACTTCCAGCGTGATGAATATCCAGCTCATTACGAATCTGTGCGCGCATATCTGGACAGCCAATTCGGTGATAGGTGGATAGATCGCGGTTGACCTGTGAATTGGCCGGCGAGATCACCAGACCTAACACCTCTAGACTTATTTGTGGGCTGAACTAAAAATTTAATGTATACAGAAGAAGCACAAAGTGCGAGTGATTTAAATAACAATAATGTGGTATAATTTTGTAAATATCAATCATTGTAGTTTGTAAATAAGTCGATTTCGATCTTCGACGCGCGACGGCATTATAATGAAAGAGTGGCAATGAGAAGTGCTGCTATTTTAAATCTATTTCTTTTATCGACCAAGTATTTTACTAATAACTAGTATATGCTGATATTGACGTAACTAGAACTGGGAGATCTACTTACACTGAACATTTTAAGGTCATTGACTATATACACGAACGCCGTAGGATGAAATGCTTTTATGTATATTTTGGATATTCGGAAATTTTGACTATATAGTTATATTTTGTTCTATTTTACAAATACTTTCGAGGATAGCTTCTATTCCACTTATACAAAACACCATATTATTTTCCAGACGGTAAAAATAGTCACCCAGTATGTCTTGCAACATAACATGGACTGAAGAGATTCCAAAAATAATTAAATATTTAGCTTTAGGGGTTTCGGTACTAGAACCAGAATTGAAAACCAAACCTACAGGAGGACTGTTAGGCACCTTTATTTCCAAAAATGCATTAAAATAGGACTTTCATTTCGTAACGGCTTATAAATCATGTTTTTGGTATCAAAACGCAAGCCGCAGCCAAATAGTAACTAGTAACTACGATTCGAATTTAGTTGTAACTTTTGAACTAAGGAGCCTTTCATAGGCCCGTATAGTTGGAATTACAAACTAAAGTCAATTTTAGTTCGCCTTTTTCGAATTCTTAAAAGTTAGATGATAAAATGCCAAAAGTGCAAAACTTTTATCATATAACTTTTTGCAGTTGCCAGAACCAATGATAAATATTAGGTTAACTATATAATAAAAATAATAAGCTTTTTTTATATAACAAATCCATATTTACATTTACAAAATAGATTAAAAAATTATGTTGGGGTACGGGCCTGATTCAGTGTATGCCAGATTTTTTTGGTTTTTGGCTTTGTTTTGCCCCGCAATTTATTTTGTCCCGCAATTTATTTTTCTCGGTCTAGCGTTCGACTGGGCGACTTGGTCTCATTCCGGTCGGTCCTGACAATGCCATAACTCTTGAGTACCTTTTGTCTGGTAAGCGTGCAACACGACCTGCCCATTTCCATTTCTTGCGCTGGGTATGTTCGAGGGCATCCACAGCATTTGTTTCCTTAAGATAAGTCTCATTTCTTTGCCTGTCTTTCAGCTGGATGATTAAGATACTCCTCGCCATTGCTCTTTGTATTTAGTTTCTTGTCCTTTTGTTGAATATTCAGGTTTGAGAACCATAGTATATGCAGGATAGTAAACAAGAGTTCATTACTTTTTTCTTTAGTTTTAGATGTACGTAGATTTCAATATTTCTTTTAGACTCAACATTTTTTGTCATGTCATGTTTTTTACTCCTTTCAACCTTTTTGGTATGCCTGACTTCTTAAAAGAGAATTTTAAAAGAGATTTATTTGTCTATGTTAACTATATGTATATTGCTAGTAAATTATCTTGGAAATTGATTTTGTTGTCTGTTCACGGAATTTATCGCAACAAATTTGACAACTCTGGTGGTTAGGAACGTAGGCCCTAGGCGTCAGTGACGTCACATCATGTAGATCTCCAATTATATATTCTAGATTGCGATGGAAGTATTAATATAAATTAAAGAGATCGAAAGAGAGCGAGCGACAAAAGAATTGCCACTGATTTCTGTCCCGTTATTCTCTGCGGAGATCCGACTTTTCGAATCGTTGGTAGATTTAGGGTTTCATAAAAGCTTGAGATAATCCTTAAGTTAATAAAAATATTTTTTAGTCTAACTTTGATTTGATACGCGGTCATTATACGTGACAATTTTGCTATCTGACAACTAAGAACTATTTTTTAAAGTAGAATTAGAGTGACTAATAGCACACAGTCCACCTGATGGTAAGTGGATGCTGTGGCCCACAGACATTTATCCTTGATTAAAAATCAAAATGCAGATGCGGTGTCACCACTGAAAACTAAGATGGAATGCCTCGTTTCCAGTAAAACGGGTCTCCGGTTCTATACGCTCACCATACGAAACAGCAGTGTTGATCTGCTACTTTACGCTGGTATTCTGTGAGAGCGTGGTCCTACCCATTCGTGCTACAAGCTGCAGCGTAGCTCTACCACGTATTGAACTTTTCAACCGTTCCAAATTTTTTCAGTTCGGTATCTGTTAGACTGTATCAGGAGCTGAAATTGCGCTGGGATGGCTTCTCAGGGTATATGTATATTGTTATTTGGTCTTTCTTTTAATTGTGTTCGATTTATGTTTGAAATTACATTGCACGGGTTTTTGATTGGTGTGTTCGTAAAGAGAGATGATACTTAGCCCTATTTTTTAATTTATTTCGATTGCCAACATAAGAAACAGCAATGAATGTATGTATACCTTATAATAAATAAATTTTACATAATTAACTGCTCTTATAAATAGGCATGCATGCGTTGTGTTACAAAAGGTTGAAAAAATATCCAAAATTATGTAAAAATAATTGAAAGTTAATAGGAAATGAAAGCTAATTTGTACAACCGCAGTTTAACGTAAGGTGGGTGGACCATGGAAGGCCATGCCACGGTAATATTATCTATACAGTATTCCAACTCCATACAAGCGGACGAAGCGAGAGCTATGCCTACGCGCCTCGATCTCGGCATACGCTCGGCATGCAGACAGTCGAGACTGTGCCGCAGTGATGATTTTGTGGAATATATAAAAAATGGAGGAAATAAATAATAGAATAGAAATAATAAATCTGAACTTCATTTAAAAACAAACATATAAATTGTAAAGTAGCTGCAGGTATCTATAACCAATTAAAAGATATTCCTTTTCTCCACGTTGTCCATGTTTCCCAAAACAATTTTTAATTTATATTATTTTTAGCTTTATATTAGAAAGCGGATTTCTTATATTTAAAAATCTAATTAAAAACGCAAATATTTTCGGTCGCAAATTTATTTAACCGATTTGTTATTCAAACATAAACATGATTTTTTAATTAAATCTACCAATCAAAAAACGACACGCATTTTTATCGAACACTTCCTATTCAATTCACAAAGTACCTATTTTATTTGTTTATATAAAAAGTATATTTACAATCATAAAACTAAATGGAAACACAAAGTAGGCAAATGTAAAAATGCTGGAGGCAGGCAGCCCTATCACATGTTTACGTACCGCGCGGTTGTAGGCATTTATTTGAAAGATACGGCCGAGTTACAATACTGTATAGATAATATTACCGTGGCCATGCTCCTTCGAAGGCCAATTATTAAAATGTAGTTATTGCAATGTGATGACAAATTCATTCTACTTACACAAACACCCATCGAACTGAAAATCACAGACGCGGCGGCGAATCGTTCACGCTACTATTTTGGCAGTACGGTCCCCCGCTTCATTGATTTCGGGAATCGACGATGTTAAAGTAAGGTGGGTGTACCATGGAAGGCCACTGTAACAAACAAATAGTTATTTTTCGTTTATTTACTGGATAAATGAAACTAACAAATATTTAAGTAATACTTTGTTTTATTACGGAATATATAAATCACTTCTTTTTATTGAAGACTTAATCGCTATTTATTAAACTTTAGTGTTAAATGACTGATTTATTATAATGACTTTCTAAGGAGCCTTGTTCCTAAAGCAAGGCCATTTGGAAGAATTCAATTAAACTTAAGTTCAATCAATATTGATTAAATCTGCGATTTAAAAAAGTGGTTTATATCTTACGTAATAAAACAATGTACTACTTAATTTTTTTAATATAGGATAGGGTGACAAACGAGCACACAGTCCACCTGATGGTAAGTGGTTGCTGTGGCCCATAGACATCTACATCTATCCTCGATTACGAATTAAAATGCAGATGCGTTGTCACCTGTGAGGACTATGATGGAATGCCTCGTTTCCAGTAAAAAGTTTAATTTATCCAGTAAGTAAACGAATAATAACTGTTTATTTGTTAAAGTGGCCTTCCATGGTACACCCACCTTACGTCAATGTTCTTAAATTTGGTAATAAGTTGAGTGAGATTATCGTGGAATGTCACGGTCGTGTATTCCTCAGCATGTATAATAAGTAATAACGCCCCTATACTGAATTAACGCGTGTTTTTGTAACGTGGACAGACACGAGTGTTGTTTATTATTGTGCGTGGTTTTCCCGTAGTATTTTTTCAACATGATTGTTTTATAACCCACATTGTACAATGTATAGATTTTTGTATTTACTAAAGCACGAATTGTTTATATTAATATCCTCCAGACCGAATTTCGGTCGCAGCGGCAAGTCTTAACGGAGACTAACCATTTGCGCAGCACAGGATTATAATGCTCGAGCGTACGCGCAAGCACAAGTGCAAACGGGGCCGTAATTCGTCACGACCGGAGAGCGATCAGGCGCAGGAACAACGGCTTTAAGTATTAGTCGAGGCATGGTGGTTAAACATCGCAATTTTCTTAGCTCCGGAGTACTATGGGGAATTAAAACTGTTGAGAACTTATTAACAGAATGTTTGGGCCGACCTGAGATTCGAACCCGGGATTTTATGAGCAGCGGGCGCGATTATGATCGCTAGACCAACCAGACACATTTACATTAAACTTGGCGCTATGGCTGACAGTAAGTAGTATGGTAGTTTCTTTCTTTAAGTCTGCTGGGGTTTATTAGACCCTTTTTACCGGCTTCTAAGTAGCTTTGCTTCTAGGTAGCTTTTCTTTTTATGCACTGCTATGTTCCGTTTTGAAAGAAGAAAGAGCCAGTACAATTGCACGCTGTAAGGAATTGTTAGTCCACTATTGAGACATTGGTCTGTTCTGGTTAATTCTTTAAACTGGTCTGGTTAATTCTATAAATCACACCAAACAAGTTAAAAATATTTAAGCTAGGAGTGGTTCAAGACAATAATCGAATACAATACAAAATATATAAGATTACCCTTCAACAGTAAAAAACGCCGGCATGGCGCCCACCGGACCGCCCAAACAGCCGCTGCGGCTGTATATTAATTCACTGTGTTTTCCGTTTTTTTTTAACCAGTTCATAATTATGGAAAGGCTTGTTGATAGACAAAGCTAGATAACAAATAATTTTTAATCTGTAATTCTTTGACAAATTTGAAGATTTCCAGTCGAAAAAGGTCAATTAAATCGCGCCAATTCAGTGCTTGTTCATTTTATCATGTAGGTATTTAGTGTTTTCTTATTTATTATTACTGAAAACATGAGAGTATTGAGAAATATATATTATCTTTAATATTTGCACGTAGTTTTGTGTGTTTTCTTTCACTTTGGTCGCGAAATTAATATTTTCTATTTTACGAAAATTGGGTACACAATTATTTAAACGAGTTTATTACTTCGCTTTTAGCACTAATGTTATATTATAATATAATCTTAGGTGAGAAAAACGTTCTTATTATAGTTTTTTTTGTATCAACTACGTCATTATTGCCATAAAATACAAGATAACCCGAATTAAGTAAAATATGAAACTTTTTGATCCTGGCAGTATTAGATAGCTGTAATGGCGTTTACTGTTGAAGGGATAGGTATATATTATGGTTATAGGACGAATGGGTCAACTCGACCGGGGTGGGACCACGCTCTCAAATATCAGCGAAAAATAGCAGCTTAAATCTGTTGTGTTTCGTATGATGAGTGTAGAGAACCGGAGACCATTTTTACTGGTAATGAGGCATTCCATCTTAGTCCTCACGAGTGACAATGCATCTGTTTTTTCATTCTTAATCGAGAATTAATGTAGATATCTATGGACCACAGCATCCACCTACCATTAGTTGGATTGTGTGCTTGTTTATCACCCTTATTCTAATTAAAAAAAAATGAACTCAACAGATTGAGACCAGCCCCTGAGCGTCCACCAAAGCTGTCGCCATTAATCAACGAACTAAACAACTTGAACTTGAATTCCCCTAATTCAAACATCGAGGAGCTCAAAACGGACCACGATTATGAAGCCCTGAGCCCATCTTATAACATGAAGCCCACGAGGCCGGCGCCGGTGCAGCCTCCGAGGGCAATGTCTCCGGTTGCGCGGGCGAAGTCTCCACTCGCGAGTCCAGGACCCACTTCCCCGGCGGCGGCGGGGCGTCGAAAAGGGCCTGCTCCCTTACCCAAGGCGTCTAATTATCAAACCTTAGGAGGGTATAACGGGATGGAGGGGGTCCCGTTTGTGCTTAATCCCAAGTTGAGAGGACTGCCTAGTGATGCACTGGTGAGTAGCTGTCAAATTCTTTTACTTTACGTTATACTATAGAACTAGTCTTTTTGGATCAATACAAACCTACTGCTCTTCGTCTCAAGGAGTGATTATTTAAAATTGTTTAAAGGCAAAGAGACCTATGCCCATTCAACCCATTCAGATAACTTTTTAAATTTTATGAAAGAAAATAGGTTTTTTTTTAATTCGGATAAATATTTTTATATTAAATCCAACTACCTACGGTTTTAGTGACAATGGTGTTTACACTTACATCTTGTTTAGGGGAGGCCTGTGTTCAGCAGTGGACTTTAACGGACTGTAACGATAACGGTATCAGGCAAACATTTGTACAGATAGTTCACATGACATATAAAAGGATGTGACTTTTATCACATCGCTTTTACGAATCAAAAGCCACTCGCTATCGATCAAGTTTTCGCCTGAAACCATAGTGTGGATAATTTGTGTTTTCCTTTTTCAATTTTTTGCCTTCTGTCAGATGCCACAATATTTTACTGCTATGGTGACTTCTCCGATATCCGTAAGGTGAAAAATGAGGTGATCGGTTAATTTTGTTATTTAGCAATATTTTATCAACTTCTACAATTTCTCAAACCATTTAGGTTGTGTTGGTAAAAAATACCGCAAGTCATTAAGCAATGTAAACCCTTCTTTAGGGTATTTACATTAAATAAATCATATTTGCTATACAAAAACTTGTAACTAAACTAGTAGACAGGCAATTTAGAATTAAAAACTGTTTCACAGCTGTGAATAGCGCGAGTTAGCTGGCACGGTAAATTTGCCGCGCAGTTTTTTATTTACGACAGTTAATGATTTTAGGCAAATACAAAATTTACCTGAAACTAGTAATCCGCCCCGGCTTCCCACGGGTGATTTATGAATCTCGATAACAGCGTCACCTATTTGTTCCAAATGTTAATATATATATCTAGCATCTAGGGGTCTATTTAAATACACACAAAAAATTTCGTCAAAATCGAATGGGATGGTTTCAATGTCTAACGGACATAGGTAGAAACATTTTTGTGTTTTATTTAGATAATAGATAAACTTCAAAACACGTTAACATAGTGCCCATATAAATAATGACAGCGTTTTTACTTTGTCATAAAATCAGTGTTAGATTGTCGGAAACAACGTTCGCGGTTTACAAAACAAAGAACTAGTCTTTTAGCGCGCTTACAGTCGACTAAAGACATTGTGGAAAATTGGCCGTAAATTAGCGCGCAATGTATTAAAGACGCAGAGCCCGTCTTTTGGTATAGATAGAAAAGTCTTTAACGTATAATATATTCTATATATCCCCATAACAGTCAAGTGCTGCACCTGGGCGTCTCCTACTGTAGGAAATATTTTCCTTAATTGCTACGTTTGTCATCTGCTATCCGTCGCCGGGCTACACCGCCATATATCAGACGCCTCGAGGTCTTTTCGACCTTTCGCATAGTAGATCCTACTAAACCCACGGCACAAAATAGGGTGATGCATTACGCTAGCTGTTTTTTTCCTGAAAGTGTATATTGCTAAATTGTCGCACACCTGGCAACGGCCCTCAAACCTTCGCCAAGCCCTACAAAGGACTAAAGATAGAAACTTGAGTTTATAAGGAATTTAGCTATTGAGTGCGCCGATTCTGGCGGCGGCCGATTGCGGTGCCGAAGCAAACCTGCTGCTACTGTTGGAGTGAAGGGGAAGATTAGGTCAGAAGGAAGTATGAACATCGACTTGAACCACTATCGGAATAGGGGAAACGGGTATTTTAACCTCGTATACGGCGAACGCAGTGGGCCCTAGTGTTTTATACTATAGTTGAATGTGTGTCGCCAGCTGACTTTTACACTATAACTTTAATATCGAACTACGAATCTTTTACGTCTGTATTTCATAGTTTTCTGGAGAATACTGATTGACAACAAATAATAATTCTGTTTTTTTATCGATTTTCAGGCACAATGGCCGGTGATCAAAAAACGCACACGATTCGAACTTGACCGGGACTACTCGTATAGTTTCACAGTGGAGAGGCAGACGTGAGTAGAGCGGATTCAACTAGATGACGTAGCATACATATTGACTGCCATCGAAAGTGATACCACGGGGGAAGATATTTATTCCAGGGATTCCCAAACTTTATCATTTCGAGGCGCATTAACAGGTTTAGTATTGTCTCTACGCCCTAGCATGTCGACACAATGATACTAGGTAGAGTTCTTAAAAATAGGAAATAAAATACAAAGGCAACTTAGTCAATATGACGTGTCAGTTTGGTCATCTCCACACATCTTTTCAAAGCATAGGATAAGTCTTGTCTTGACACCGCTATTCTCATTTCTTGCTCCAAATTGTTCTTAGATTGATATTTACACTTTATTACAACTGAAGCTGAAAAAATCGGTTTACTTTGTACCCGCGAATACATAAATTTAGTTTCCGGAGAACGCTAAACAGGAGCGTCTCACGCCCCCTCTTTACTTTCTACTGCGCCTCAGGGTGTGGCGACGCACACTTTGGGAACCCCTGTTTTATTCGACTTGATCAAAAAAATGACATTTAAATTTACTTACCCTCGATTTTCTTTATAAACCTTTTACTATATAGAATATAGATATTTTATGAATAGCTATAATAATTTTAATTTATTAATGAAAGTTCGTTCAAATCAATTAGTTTTAAATTAAGATTTATTTTTGGTGTCTACTCCAACACTGTTGTACATTATTTGACATTAACAGATGTCATTTGCCATTCAAATGTAGTCATGGTTTATTGTAAATTATTATTAACCTTTTTACAAATTAAATTATAACCTTTAGATTTATAATAAATATGGACTGTTACGGATATAGGGTTTATACAACGACGCCATTTTGATCACCTTTTTAAAATGGCGGTCGAAGGTGGGTTGTTTGACGTACGTTGAGTACGCGCGGGTGATATAGGATCTATGTATAATCAATCATATTTGAGTGAGTATTATTGTTGTGACCTCGGTTGAGTAAACCGAACTTAGCATTTACCTAAGTCTAAGTCTAAAAGTTCATTGAATATGTCAATGGACTTTTCTACGCTTTTATCTACCTACTTACGATCAAATTTTGTAATTTTATCTGCATGATTTTGTTCGGACGTTCGCGTAGACAAGATCACGCATTTTATAGTGTTAAAAAGAAAGAAAAAAAAGAAATTTTGAAAAGTGGTAAAGAATAAATAATTATGGAATAGTACATTACATTTAGAGCACACCGTCTTGGTACAATGAATTTAGTTTTCCACGGTTTATTAACTATATTCCAAGAACAAACTCCATGTATGTCATAATGTACACACACACACACACACACATGTAAACTATTAATAAACAAACACCTATGTATAATTTTCTCCAATAAATTATACTTTTCATCAATAATGGTGAGGTGCTAACATATTAGCCGCATTACTGAAATGTTTTGTAAGCAACTTAATTTTAAAAAAATGGGCGATGATTTATAACAAAATGAAAGTTGTGTACATGAACACACTGAGCGATATATTATAGCTGCGGATATGGTGTCATATTTACACAATCAAACATATGTTGTATGTTGTTGCAACACTGGCACATGTAGGTTATAAAGAGGTATATAGCTCTGAATAACATGGAAGTATATTAAATATATATGTAATACAATTTAATTGTATTATTTCAATGGTATTATCATCATACAGATAGCAATTTATGACATATCAGATCTAACTGTTACTGTATATTGAAATATATGCAAAAAAGGAATTGTTAACATGTCCTTTGGGAAGCTCTGGATGAAATAAAGACTGATACATTAAATATTACAGGTTAAAAACACCTTTTTATGTTGCAAATTCTATTGCATGATTTGATTTGGTATTTTATTCCATTTCAATATAGTATAGGCCTTAGAAGGCTATAATTATATACTGAATATAAAGTCTGGACAACATATAGAACATATGAATTACATTTCAATAAGCCACTTACCATCAGGTGGATTTTAAAGTTCGTTTATCACTTTTGTTTTGGAAAAATAAGCAGTTTGGTCATTGACAACTATAGAATTAATTTCTAAGTAAGAACTTTCTCATTACTTGTATGAAATGGACCGTATATAGTGTTGTAAATTCTCTCTTAACTATAAGCATTTGTAATGTGAAGTTTTTGTGCATTATATTTGTTTTCAATGCATTGAAATATTTAATAATTAATAATGTGTGTATACAAATTATGTTTGTATGTTAGACTTGTCTATGAACGTGCCATTAAAAATAATCTGTTGACCTATTTTCGGTCACTGCGCAGGGCAGGATTATAGTGCCAGTGTGCGTCAGTAATCATAGGTGCAATAGAACATAGTCCGATGTGACGGTAATCTGATACGACCGAAAGAACAGGCAGGCGCAGGAGCACCGGTTTTACATACTTTCCGAAATACGGAGGTGAAACACCGCCTACTTCCTGACTTCAGGCTGCTACTGAGAATTCCTTGACAGAAAACTCAATAACAGATTATTGACCAGATTCGAACCCAGGACCTCGTTTACGACCACTACACCAATGAGGCAATCAAAAAGTTGTTTTTAAAGTCACTGGAACTGTGTGGGTATATATATATAAATAAGAACGAAAGTTTGTAAACTTATAAAGTCGGGGAAAATATTTCTTCGTATTTTATATACAAATTCCAGACAGTTTTGTTTTTAAAGTTTAATTACTTCTAACTATTCAAATTTTTTTTTCGCGATTTGATTCGCATTTTACCTTTTTTTATAATAAATCTTCAGAATGTATCGAATTTCTTCGGTGGATTCACTCATTTTGGCTGACAGAAAAAATTGAAAAATGGCTGGAAAGTGTTTTTTACTTTTTATTTTTCTTTGTCCTATATGTATTGATATTAAAACCAGCCAGATACAAACAGTACAACCAAAAAGACTTTTTTCAATTTTATACAAACAAAATGCGAAGAAACTTTCCCCGTCTTATCATTTTGTTTTTAATTCTGATTTTGGAAGTTTTACTTCTCTAGCTTTGTAACTTTATACTGCCATCTTTGCAATTTGTCAATTATTTTAATTATTGTTATTATATTACTATTTTAAAGAAAATTAAACTTAATTTTGTTTAAAATAAAGTTGACTGTGCCAATACCAGTACAAGTTTTAAAAATTGGGTTACAAGGCGGTTTTCGCCGGCCAATTTTAACTAGTCGAAAATAGATCACTTTTGTATAAAGATTTTTTATAAATCGTATGAATGTATTTGGCTCAAATTGTATACAATTTTATTACCACCCAAATTATGTGCTATAAACTTTTTTATTAATAAAAATTAAGAATGCAATTTCACTAATTATGTTATATTCAATATGAACTTATACTGTAATTTCTACCGGTTTACTTTTTATTATTTTACACTACATGACTTAAGCTATTACAAAATGCATTTTATAATATATTCAACTGCATGTTATACCCGTACCTATGTAAATTATTCCCAACTTTAATTGAAGTTGGGAATAGTTTACATGCAATTCGGGTACATTGTTAAAACTGTCATATACTAAGTTTGTCAGTCAGTATTAGGAATATGTTAACGCACTGGATAAAATTAGATTTTAAAATAAATTAACTTTAATTATTATGCACTTCTGTTTACTAATTATTGCATGGTGCATTGTTGCACTAAACAAAGATAATTTTGGCAAAAAATTATAACTATGTTTGTCTCGCGACTACCTTGAATGTTTTATAACATCTCCCTTCTGCCTTTATACTTCATGTAACTGTCTGTTAGTGATGAACTTGCCCAATGTTGCAAAAGCTGTTATGGCACATGAATTACCTTTGCCTTTTAAAGTTAGATTGTTTTATTGTTAAATAGCAAATTTAAAGGTTTATTTTACCACAAAACTTAATGTAATTTTGTTTTATGAAAATTTATTGCAATTGACTACTTTGTGTAAATATGTTTTAAGTAATGCTCTTATAATAGTTAATTAGAAATTACGCTTTTTGTACGTATCCAGTAAACATTATTTAGTATTATGATGGAGAATAAATTTAAATTATTGACTTTTTTTTTCTAGTTCGCCATTTAAAAAGTTAGAACCAATTATGTATGTCTTGATGATTGACAATTCACCACCTTACGAATTTCTTACAGAAATCCAGAAATTTCCGGACCAATACAACTTTGAAATCTTCAAGAAAATGGGCCTGTTTTCTACTAACTCAGCCTGAGTCTGATATATGTGTTATAGTGTTCACTTACCATCAGGCGAAGTTATATAAGAATAAGAGGGGGATTTTGTAACATAATAAAGGTGTGGCGTTTAAAGATGCTAGGCATCTGGTACTGCAAACGTGATTAGCCCACTTATCCCCCCCAAAGTGGCAAATTTTATGGGGGAGGATATATCCATAATTGACCTACTTTTTAAATATATTTATTGAAGAACTTCTGAATGATATTTACTATCAGCCATAAAATGTTACTACACAATAACCAAACCCGAATCACTTCTGAAATTTTCGTTAGTCTTATAAGTGGTTTGTTGAAGGTTTTATAACTGGTAGAGCCATGCTGTAGCATATTGTTACGAGCTTAGGGTTCGTCACAATAAAACTGTCGATTGAATCACCGAAATTGATAATTTGATTACCGAACACCAATTAAAATTTAAAACACACTAATAATTAATCACACTTAACAATTTAGTTCACGTTATCTTGCTCCGAAGTCTTCACTTGAATCGCCAATTCAATACTCTTTCGGTCACAGCATTAACGGCTTAATATAGGGCCTTTTCTTCTGAAACATCTAGAATGTCGACAGTTCTAGCATCGAATATTCTAGAAATCTCTCATAGTTCTGCTACTCCATACTAGAGGGCGCTAGTGAATTTTATAGATAAATATTGACGCTCCTATTTCTGCTACTCGATACTTGATGGCGCTAGTGCCATAAACAAGGCATCATCTATGGCGCGCAACAATATTAAAGTTGTAGCACGAATGGGTCAGCTCGGCTGGTGAAGGACCACGCTCTCACAGACCAGCGTAAAAAAGCACCTTAATGCATGTAAATAAGAACTGGGGACCCTATTTACTGGAAACGAGGCATTCCATCTTAGTCCTCAGGGGTTGTAGCGCATCTGTATTTTGATTCCTGGTTGAGGATAAATGTAGATGACACAGTATCTATATGTACTCTGTGGTATCTACTTACCATCAGGTGAACTTTGTGCTTCGTCGTCTCGCGTTTTTTCACTATTGACCTCTAGGTCCTATATACAAGTTTTCATCCTTATTTAATTTAAAAAAATGTAAAGAAAAACTAGAGAAATTATTTTTTGTTCTATTTGCATTTGCTCGGTTTTATTCCTTCTAGAGAACACAATATGCATCAAGAGGATCATAAGTACATTGAGAAAAGAAACGAAAAGGTTTTTAACATCGAATAAAAATAAATTTATTACAAAATCCATACACAATGTTTCCTTTAATTTACTTCCGCTTACGTTAACAAAAACACATAACAAGAACTCGTAAATATCGTATTTAATGTCCTGACCAGTAAGTATTTAATTATTAAAAACGCTTTTGTCACTCATACTGACATTTTTTAAAAGAATTAATTATATATAATGCTTTAAAAATGCTTTTTAAAAGTAATTATGGATACATTTTTGTTTAGGTAACTTCTGTTTTGAAAACATACCAGCGTTCAAAAATATAAGGATGCTGCCCACTCTTTCCTAATCTCAATATGGTACAAGTGTGCAATGTTTAGTATATATTATTAATCTATTGAGCAATGAAATACTGGTGTTCTATCGCCACGCACTGAGAACTATGTACACATACGCACACTAAGATAAATTGGGTAGTAATAGAACGAAATACCAATAACACATTGCAAACACACTGTGTGGTATTAAGGAAAACAGTGGGGAGCCTCTTTGAAGATTGAACGATTTATAATAAATGTAAAGTTTGAATACAGGCCTCGAAATGTCTAAGCAAATCGATGTCCCATCTACATTCGCTGATGTGGCTCGTATAAGCCTAAATAATGTAAACAAAACAAACGTTACTCCCTGCGTAATAAAAACGCCTGCGGCCATGAAAATAGCAACCGGGAGAGGGTCCGTCGTCCAAACTCAACCAATTAATCAGCCACAGTGTGTGACTCCAAGGAAAGAGTTAAATATTAATATTAGTGAGGAAGAAGAAAAAATGAATAAAGATTGTGAGTGGACTACAGTTCGTAAGAAAAGGGGGAGTTACCAATCAAAAAATGTGAAGAAAGGAAATAATACGGTTTTATTAGATATACAGGCTACTGAAAAAAAGCGGCACCTTCACGTTTGGCGTTTGAGTAAAGAAACCACAAGTGATAAATTAACATCACATGTCAAAGGAGTATGTGGTCCAGATGCTAATGTTAAGATTGAGAAAATTAAGCATAAGACAGAGAGGGATTACGCTTCTTTTATCATAACGGTATCAGAGTCAATGTATGATAAGTTGTGTCAACCGGAAGTCTGGCCCATCAATGCGGAATTTTGCGAGTGGATTTGGTTTCGAAAAGCTACAAATAAACCAATTAAAGAAAAATAATAGTTTTGAATTTTACTATCAAAACGTCAGGGGTCTTCGTACAAAATTAAACTGGTTTAGTAACAATATTGAATCATTGAATGCGGATGTAATTTCTATTACGGAAACAGGATGCAACGATTCTATAATGGATGCGGAGATTGTGCCACCAGGTTATGATATAATAAGGTGTGATCGAGCAGACGGCCGTAAGCTAGGCGGCGCGTTTCTCGTGGCCACACACGGGTTACAGCTGCAACGAGTGAATACACCGGGTGACGTAAACATAATACGCATTTGAACTGGTTTGTGCGACAGTACACGCTAAAGATAAATGTTTATTTTTATGTTGCGTTGTTTACATCCCGCCTAAGACTAAGGAAGATGTTTACATGATTTTTTTTAAGATAATAGAACAATTGTGTGTTAAATATAGACATATTATTTTGATAGGTGATTTTAACTTAAATTCAAGTAATGAAAATGTTAAAAATTATTTTGAAAATTTTGTGTCCTTTTGCGAATTGGCTCAGATGAATAAAGTCCTTAATTGTAATCGGAGTCAACTAGATTTAGTGTTGTGTTCGTTAGGATTAAGTGATGGCGTACAAGTATGCGAAGCTGACGAACCATTAGTGCCTGTGGACACGTATCATCCACCGCTCGCGGTGACTCTGGAGCTCAGCGCTGGCGGTGTGACGTTGCTACCCGTGGGGGCCGAGCCCGTTGCTTTAAACCGTGAGACATCAGCAAACCAAATTAAATCGCAATGGAATTTTTATAAAGCTGATTTTTACTTATTTTATTCTTATTTAGCTTGCGCCGATTGGAGTTTGATTAACGAGACACAGGAACCAGAGGAAGCTTTAGAGTTTTTTTATAATGTTTTTTACGGGGTTTTAGATAAATGTGTACCAAAAAAGCGGGAAAATAAAGTAGATCAAAGACACTACCCCGAGTGGTATACTAGTGATTTAATCAGGGACATAAAATTAAAGGCTAAACTTCACAAGTTATATAAATCGACCGGATCTCGTACTCATTACAAAGCTTTTTCTGCTTGCAGGACGCGAATTAAGAAAACTATTGATAGCGCATACCTAAACTATCAAAATCGTGTGCAAAGTAACTTGACAAAAAATCCTAAGTCTTTTTGGGATCATATTAGGGCGAAAAAAGGACCGTTAAACGTAAACAAATATTGAAAGATGGAGTAACATTGTCAGATCAAGAAAGCTCGATTAAATTTGCCAAATACTTCTATTCAGTGTACAACAGCGAGCCAGCGCGTTTGAACGTAGATGAGGCGGTGTTGGCGGGCGGTGCGGGCAGCGCGCGCGTGCACGTGCCGTAATTGCAGCTAGGTGAGGTGCGCGCGGCGCTCGCCCGACTCAAGCCGAAGCGCTCGGCGGGCCCGGACGGTATACCGGCGTTTGTGATACGAGACTGCCGCTCAGTGCTGGCAGAACCGTTATTACATATTTTCAACTTGTGTCTGAAGAATTCATATTTTCCAGAAAGTTGGAAAATCACGCGTGTTATTCCGATACCTAAGGGAGGTAACAAACCTACAGTTGAATCCTTCAGACCAGTGGCGATTCTCTCAGCACCTGCGAAGGTGTTTGAGGGAGCCATTCAGCGAAGTGTACAGAAACAAGTTGCACCGCAATTATCGGACGCCCAGCACGGCTTCCGGCTAGAGAGGAGCACAACTAGTAACCTCTTAAATGCCATGACGTATTTGGTTCCTCATGTTGATGCAGGGTTGCAGGTAGATGCCGCCTACTTTGATTTTAGGAAGGCGTTCGACTTGGTAGATAACGATATCCTACTGTCAAAGATGGCGAAAGCTGGCTGCACACCTAAACTGCTTCATTTTTTTGCAAGTTACATGAGAGAAAACAGTATGTGAAGTATGGCGGGTACCGGTCGGAGCATTATTTTACTAGGTCTGGTGTGAGTCAAGGCAGTAATTTAGGGCCGTTAGAGTTCAACATAATGATTAATGATCTACCCGAAGTAGTAAGAGAGGCTAAATGTCTGTTATTTGCAGACGACCTAAAGTTGCTTTTAGCCATCAAGACTGAGGATGATTGTCGGCACCTTCAGCAAGATATCGACCAAGTAGTTGAATGGAGCCATAAAAATAAACTGCAGTTTAATATTTCAAAATGCTCTATTCTATCATTTAGTCGTGCAAGGGCACCACTCCATTACAACTATAAGGTGAATGGCGAGCTAATGAAGAGGGAGGAATCAGTCCGGGATCTTGGAGTCCAGATGGATGTCAAATTGACATTCCGGGAGCACATCATGAATATATGTAAGAAAGCTTATAAACGACTAGGGTTTATCATTCGCAGAGCAGTAAAATTTACCAACGTTAAAGCAATCTCAGTGCTGTATGATGCTCTAGTAAGGAGTCAGCTGGAGTGTAACTCAGCAATATGGGCTCCACATGAAAATAAATACAATCTTACGCTGGAGCGCATTTAGAATAAATTCACGCGATTTATATATCATAAGCTTTATGGGGTTTATCCATCCTACCCCTTGATGTATCCAACCTTGTTTGTTTTAGGTATGGTTGGATACAACAAGTTGGAAACTAGAAGAGATCTAGCGCTGGTAAATCTACATTTTAAGGGTGTTCCGTGGTTACATCAGCAACCCGGGTGTGCTGCAGTGGATAGGCTTATGCGTGCCTGATAGGTAATGTACAGCGGCGACGACGGCCGAGCTTGCTCGCAATGCCACGCGGCAGGACTATCGTAATACCCCCCCTCACGCGAACGATACACATACTAAATTTGGTAGCTGAGAAGTTGGACTTATTTTCGTGTTCACGGTGTGAGTTCGCAAAAGTGACATTATTTAAATAAAAGAACAATGATGATGTATTGTCTGAAATAATAATAGATTTAAATTAATTATAATAGTAATCTTTATTTAAGAGAGCCTTGGGTGTTAGAGAAAAAAAAAAAAAAAAAAAAAAAAAAAAAAATAATAAAATATGAATAAATACTTATTCAGACAGTTGAGAGCTATTTTCGATTTAAAATTTTGTTTTCTAGCTCTAAATTTGGTTATGGGTATTAAAAAGCTACCAAGCTACAAAGATTATTGGGCATCTGCACCTGATCTACATGATAGCTATATTTCCTCTTTTATGCCTTTGAACAGATTTGGGTGGCTTTTGAATCATATTCATTTGAACGATAATAGCTTGATTCCTTCTAGACAGAGTCCCAACTTTGATAAATTGTGTAAAATTCGTCCTTTGTTGAATATTATTCAAAGAAACTTCTGCGCTAATTCGCCTTCAGAAAAAGTTGCAGTAGACGAAAGTATGATAAAATTTAAAGGACGGTCTTCTCAAAAGCAGTAGATACTGAAAAAACCGATCAAACGGGGCTATAAAGTTTGGATAAAGTGTGTTGAGTCTGGTTACTGTCTCGATTTTCAATTATATACAGGCAAACAAGAACACAATGTAGAAAAAGATTTGGGTGCGACAATAGTAAACATATAATCTCAACAAATCACAGAATCTACTTTGATAATTATTTTAACAGTTACAATTGCAGATTGATTTACTAAACGACAAAATCTTAGCTTGTGGTACTGTAAATGCTACTAGAAAACATTTACCTACACTCAAAGAAGATACTAAGTTAGAAAGGGGTGAAGATGACTATCGAGTCAGTGACACAAATGTGACTGTGATGAAGTGGAAAGACAAGAGGGTAGTCTACCATTTATCAAACTACCACGACCCACGAAATGTCAGTACTGTTATTCGCAAAGAGCATAATGGTGACTCAAACCAGATAGCTTGCCCTGAACTTGTAAAGGATTACAACGCAAATATGAACTTTGTAGACAAGTTTGACCAACTCAGCTGTTATGCCATTGAAAGAAAGTCTCGTAAATGGTGGCATAGAATATTCTTTCATTTCTTGGACTGCGCGTTGGTAAATTCTTTTGTTATTTACAAAGATCTTCAAAAACTTGATCATATGGGACTGTCAAGACTGACAATGAAGGAATTCCGCCGTTCTGTCTACCTGGGCATTCTTGCCTCTGCTTTTGTGAATAAGCGATCTTACGGTTCCAATATCAGTTCTCCAGCGCATTCTCCGATTCCTGTGCTAATAAAACGTCACAAACCAACAGTTCCCCAAAAAACACGTTTAGAAAGTAGTCGCCACCAACCACAACAGGGCACATCTAGGCGCTCCTGCAAATGCAGTACAAAATCTCATCCAGTACGCACAGTTTGGGAGTGTAGCATGTGTAAAGTTCCTCTTTGCCTACGTAAAGGAAAAACTTGCTTTGCTGATTTTCACAAAAAGTAGTTGAAGTAAGGAAATAATTCTAAAAATAAAGTTCCTTATTCATCATACATGTTTTATTCTATAGCCAAAGTGGTTAGTACTGGTAACCACCTCATTCCTCAAAAGCCTTAAGGCTGAAGCAATTTTTTTTTTTTTATACATGTAGTAGTCCTAACTAATACAGCCATATATATTTTTTGTTTAAATTATTCGAAATATAAAAGTGTGGCTCAAAGAGTTAATGAAATACACATAAAAATACAGCTGGAAATGGTAAAAAAGAAATACGCGAATAACTATATAGTAGTTAAAACATTTTTTAATCAACAACATTATATAGATATTTACGAGTAAAATTCAAACAACACACTTTTGTGTGATACGCAAATCGCATAAGCATACGTTAAAGTAAGGTCAAACAAACAAAATATTAAACGTAAACCGACATTTACAGTCCGCCCCTGCTCTCGTATGTAATATTAAACGCTAAGAGGTCTGTCGTTATGCTACCATTTGACCCGCCATTTTGCGATAAGCCAAGGAGACACCCAAAGATGCTTTTTAAATTGATTTTATTAATGAATATTAACAATTCTATTAATATTACTAATATTCCCCTTAACCACTCGTGGTAAGCTTAAATTGCTTGTGTTACGAGTGGTTCACGCCAGTAATCGAATGGCGGATTCGAACCCACGAACTTTTGGAGTTCGCGGTCCGCGCCCTGCCATTAGGCTACTGTCGCTTAATTTTTGAAATTGTTTGATTGAGTGATTCGAAATCCAAGAACTAGTATGCCTAGTATTTGGTATATTATGTTAGTTTTACATTTGTATAATGTAATAATAATTTTTATATTAATTAACAGTTTAACATTTATCTTGTCTGACTGTCATTTAAAATTTTGATTAATCTCTATATTATATTATATGTTACATACAAACATAATATATTATATGTTTTATTATACAAACATATAATATATATGTTTATATAATATATGTACATCATTTGATGTTTATATATGATGTACGTTAGTCTCGCTAAAACTCAAAAACAGCTAGCCTGATATTGATGAAATTTTTATGTTTGAATGGTCCCTAGATGGTTTAGATTCACATTTAGACCCGGTAGGTGGCGCTGTTGTCGAGATCCAGAAATCACACATGAGAAGCCGGGCGGATCGCTAGTTAGAAATGTTTTTGCAACCACATTTTTCTTTTTCCCTTTGTTTACGTTCTTTATACCGCTTCATTGGCCTTGCTTTAGTCTAACTTAAAATTTTAATTCGCTTTTTTTCTGCCTAACAAGTTTTATTTTGCATTTTGTTACATATACCTGTATAACATATGCAACAACTGATGTATATATATATATATATATATATATATATAAGATACAAAAATTTACTATTCTATTATCGACTTACATTTATCAACAATTATTTAATACAAAATTTTACAATTCCACATTCTTACATATCTACCACTACAAATGAATTTTAAATACATTTATACAAATGCCGCTGCGTATCTGATAACAGTGAATATTGTTTTTTCCATTGAAATATTTTTTTGATATTCGTCTTATGAAACATATTGACGTAGGAGGCATATAGCATACTAAAAGATTTTCATCCAAGATTTTAGCGTTCCGGCCATCAGTGGCAGAGTCATTGCGGTGTTGACGGTTGTTTCATCTGTTTCTGCTGCTCCAAGAGTCTCTCGAGAGGAGAGGGGCCAGGCCCGGACCACAAGGACTGAAAGAAAGGTTTCATTTAGCAACTTTAGTCTTGCTTTCTAACAAATAAACACTGAAAATGTAAAAAAGACATCATTTGTACTTAAGACCTATTTAGAATATTGCCAAATTTTTAATATTTTCTGCAAGGACACGATATTTACTTGCAAATAAATGCAGCTTTTTATCATAGCGGGGTTAGCGAAGATAACCTTCTACGATCGTTAACAATATATGAAACTATAAAAAAGAGTGAAATCAATGTTAAATCAAATGAGTGTCACCTGACTTGACGTTCAGATATGTCATTCCCACTCATTTAACACGTTTTTATTAGCTTCGCGTGTATCTATTTATTTATCTATCTATGTTACGGAATCTTTTAATGTAATTTTTACCAATTTGTAGACGACCCATTGACTTGAAAATCGGCACTCATTTCAAGGTCCGCTGACAGTAGACAATAATTTAATAAATTTATCCTACCTCACCTATCCTCCCACCTCATGATCAATGCATGTTGTTTTTTTTAACGTTATACGTGGTAGAGCCACGCTGTAGCTATATTATGGTTGTAGCAGGAATGGGTCAGCTCGACCGGGGAAGGACCACGCTTTCCCAGAATATCAGCGTAAAATAGCAGCTTAATACTGCTGTTTCGTATGGTAAGTGTAGAAATCCGGAGACCGTTTTTTACTGGTAACCAGGCATTCCATCTAAGTCCTCAGGGATGAAAATGCATCTGCGTTTTGATTTTTAATCGAGGATAATTGTAGATGTTCATTTGGCCACAACATCTAATTACCATCACGTGGACGATGTGCTCGTGTGTCACCCTTATTCTATAAAAAAAACTCTTATATAAATTATCATAGTTTTCTATAATGTTAACAATAGTTGAATGTCATCTTGTCTAACCCCGCAGGTCTAAACTGAATAATTTAGAAACGGCCATTTTTGAGATTAAACTAGTTTTCCAGTCATGTACAGGGGCAGTTAGCCTATGTAACCATATTCTTAACTTTTACATTAGTAGCATTTTTATCATTCCCAGAACGGGAGTGATAACTTTAAGAATGGTCCCACACAATATAAAAATGTACATCGTAGTCTCATTGATTAATGTCAAATTAAATTCTCTAAGAAATAGTTGGATAGATGTTATTTGCATAAGAGAAATTGAGACCTTTGATCACTTCTTTTTTGAAAGTACGCGCGTAGTGCTGTATCAAGATGGATAACTAAATCCTTGATTCTTTATTAAGTAACAAATTATTAGGAATTGAATTGAATACATTGTTATTATCCATGATCACATCAATCAACTTCTGTTCTAAACTGTTTTTGAAATATTACGTAATATCTCTCTGTTATTTCTGCAATACAAATCTTTTTTTTTTTTCCAAAAGTTGAATTTTTGGAGGGGTTGCAAAAGATATTAACTTCACTGACCAGTAAGTCACATATAAAAATTTCGATTAATTAACAGTTGTGTCTATTTCGCGGATAGGGAAGTTGTTAATTATGTATGTACCTAATGTGAATTATTCTTTTACAATAGTAATAATAGTTTGTTTCTTCATCACAACAAAATTAGGAGCAAAAGAGTTGCAACAGCTAAGTAGTACATAACAACTTTGACTGTCGATCTTTGTTGCCTACGGTAGGTATAATACCCGTATTTCAGGTCACCAAGTCTCCACTTCTATCGGAACGCTAATAGTGTCTAAAAATCTTTATGGAAACGAAGAAAAGATGTTTTTGATGTTAAATGGTGATCTAGAATAGACCACTTTATTTGAGCTGAGATTTGATTCGGCTCCAAGGACCATATAATCCTTCATTAAAAATATAAAATTTTCCTATATAGAAAAACATGCAGATTTATGAGCATCTAACTTTTTGCATACCTGATGCAGATGTCTTTGGGCCCAAGCGGCGGGATCAGGTGCTGCGCTGAACAACGAGTACGTGTTGCCAGTTGCTGCACTCGTAGCTTCGCGGGTCTGCAATATTTGTTGTTTTTTTACATTTTGTTGCATACAAGTCCACTGCTGAACCATTCTAAGCCAGTGTTTAACAACAATACCATCTGATGCTAAGTGGTGATGAAGCCGAAGATCGTGAAGCACACTGACTTAACAAAAGCTATTCACTCTTGCCTTAAAGACACCAACATTTTAATCGGATGGAAAGCCAGATGCTGGCAACTTATTTTACTCCTTTGCTGTACTCATGACGAACGATGTAGCAAACCGTTTGGTTCGAATGCTACCATTCTAAGAAAATAGTAAGTCGACAACGAAAGGGTGGCCTAGCGTTTGGTTGTCCAAAGGTATAAGAAAGGGGGAGGAATTAAGTTATGCGATTTCTACGCACAGTCTAAAATGCATTCTGTATTAACTAAAAGGCTCCCTTATAAATTGCTTAATAGGCAATGGCAGGTGGATTGCCAAACGCTGTCAAAGGAGTAAAACTTCTGTATATGTTTACTTATTGTGGTTAGAGCGAAATGGTTATAGCTTTTGTACACTCACAACAAACAGTTAAGAGATCTGATTTTGTACTTTAGTGAGTGTTTACCACCAACAAATCATATTGTTTTTTCATTCCCTTACCTCCTCATACATAAAATATGTGACATTTTAAAAATAACAGTGCTTGGAATGCAAAATACTAAATATCTATTTCCATTTTGTATTTAAATACTTTTTTTAGAAAAGCATTTTATATTTTATTTGAAATACCTTTTAGGACATATTTTGTATTTGCAAAATGCAAAATACTTTTTGCTAAGTTTTGTAAACATCAAAGAATTAATAATTAATGTGATGAAAAATTGTAATTTTTTTTACTATGGCAACACTGAATTGAACTGCTTTCTTGTCAGGCCACATATAGTAGTAATCTGTGCAGGCCACTTAGTTCTGTATATATCTCTATCTCACTTAGGTTGTCAAACTCGTTGAACCGAACGAAGGAATGATCTATGGAGTGTAGTAGTAAGGAGTACCAACTCCCATATTAGAATAGTTGAAAAAGTGGCCATCTGTAAGCAGTAAATAATAGTTCAAAAACTGTCAAAAACTCTCCACCACAGCGCTGGAGTAGCTACTGGGATAAAATGAACTTAGCAGTAGTCGACGGTTCGAAGTGTGCTGCTAAACTGCTCAGTAGCTCTAAAATCTAAAATAATTTTATTTAGTAAATATAACCTCAAAAAAGCCGTCAATTCCACTAATGTTTTTCGGCACGTTCTTTAAAATTTAGCCCGTAGCTATATAGGCGCCACCCTTATTTAATGGTTTTCATGGACACTTTTTAATACAATCTGTGCTCCTTACTTCTACACTCCATAGAATGATCTCTTTTTACACTTAACCAAAGCAAATACAAACACCACTATTGACCTGAAATCATTGCAATATTTGAAGTATGGAGTGTAGAGGTAAGGAGTACAGACTCCGTATAAAAAAGTGTCTGTAGGAAAGCGCTAAATAGGTGGCGCCACTGTAGCTACAGTCTAAATTTTAAAATACTTTTTTATAATTTTTTATTGCACAGACTTTCAAAATATTTCTTTTTACAACAATTATTTTATTGTTTCCAAAATTTTTATTTTCAAAATCACTCTCAACTTATTTTACGGCGTTTTATCATACCCTGTTACTCGATATTGCGGAGTTTATTATATATAGTTATTTACTGCTTACAGAAGGACACATTTTTAACTATTCTCCTATGGGAGATTGTTTTCCTTACCTCTATACTCCATGATTTGAAGGATAATGATGTCAGCCTGCAATCATTAAATAAAAACCCTACAGTAAAGACATTATTCTTGAAATATAATACCTGCATGCTTAGCTATGCGCCGGTAGAAAGGCTTTTTTCTTATGGTGGCACGATTATAAGACCACACAGAAGAAAGATGAGCGAAAGTGTATTTGAGAAAATTATTTTATTAAAATCTGTTAGGTAAATTTAATTTAAGTAAAAGTAAAATTTATTTCAGCCAGCTAACAAGCTGGTAAATTTACTATGATAACTTTATCAAAGTAAATTTACCAGCTTGTTAGCTGGCTGAAATAAATTTTAACAAAATAAAGATAGTTTAAAACTAAAAGTATGCCATTTTAATAAAGCATTTTGTAAATATGTGTATTGCATTTAGTATTTTAAGTATTAAATGAAAAACTTTTTACTCGTACTTAAAAAAAGTATTTGCATTTTGCATTTAAATACATTTTATAACTTATTTTGCACATCTCTAAAAATATAGCATAATATTCATAGAATTAAAACATTTTAATGCAAACTAACCTGTTCCAATGTATTAGCGGCACCGCCGACATCTTGATTTATGTTGTTATTATAGTTCAGATTCCTTTGCTGCAATTCCATTATATTTGAGCTGAAGTTCACCGACTCATCCGTCTCTTTACCCTGGTACTGCTTGTCCATCACCTTCATCTGCACCGGCTGGTATCCAAGTTTGTTGCTAAACTGGGGATACATCGACGAATCATACCCAACACTAGGCGTGTACGCTCCAAAGCTGTTCAAAGAGGCATTGAAATTGGGTGAGGTGACCAAGTTCTGCAGAGTTGGCATTTGTGTTTGGCCAATCGTTGGCCAATTTGATCCGATACTGTCCGGTTTGCTCTGTCCTACTTGGTTATGATTATACGATAAATTCAAGTAAGGATTTGGTGTGTTGGAAGCTACATGTGGTGAGAAGAAGTTGGGCTGTACATTCATGGTTGGAGTTGAGAAGTTTGTGTTGTATACGGGTGGGTTTTCTGGCTTCCACCAAGTCAATGGCTGCTGGTATTCAGGTTGGGGATTTGACCAGTTGCGTTGGGGTTGCTGCTGCTGTTCAAATGTGTTGTTTTTAAAACTATCGTCTCTAAACTTGTTTTCATTGGCCTGGTTCTCTTGAGCATTCTGCCAATATCTGTACTGGTTTGCGAAACGTGGTGGAAGGTCATTCAGGAAGTTCTTCTTGTCCCCAGACATCTGATATCCATGGTTTGTGAACTTATGTCCTTCTTGGAATAACTCTGGCCGGGAGTTCTGCTTTTGAAGCGCTGCTGTCCTAACATCAATCTCTTTTGGATTCACTACTGGCAGCCTTATCCCCTGGCCGAATCCTGGAGCACCTTGGTAGTTAGGATTGTAGCTAATGCCCGTGTTTTGGATGCCGTAGTTCTTCTGAAAGCCCATGCGCGGTTCGTTAAACGGCTGAGCTGGTATATTGGTCCAGTTGGCTTGAGGTGGGGGCTCCTGCCACTTCGGTTGATATCCTTGGGAATTTTGACTGGTGCTCTGGTTGGGTTTGGGTTCCTTTTTCTCTTCCTTATCAGTTTTCTTGGGTGGCTCAGGGTCAGTATTCACCAAATGAGGATACCCAGCAGATTTATCTTTGAGTGAAAGAATCCCACCAGTTTTTCTGCCAATAGGCAAGTTACTAAGAGACTTTATGGCTTTTGGCTGGACAACTTTTGGCTTATCTGTTTCTTTTGTAGCCGATTCACTAGCATCTGCAGTTGAATCTGGAGTTGGCGGTGGTGACACAAATTTCACCTGAAATTAATAGTATAAAATTATTATTTCTATGCAATATAGCGTGTAGTGGTAGCGTAAGACAATCCACTACCTTATATTATACCGTGAGTGTTGAGGTGATGGGTAAACAGGATATGGGCAGCAGTGTCTTCCTAATAAAATCTTAAAAAAATAAAAAGCTGGGGTTGCCATCCCATTTGCCAAGCATGGAAATTATGATTGTAATGTAATGAATATTTCTCTACAATCATAATTTATTTAGTGGTAAATTACCACTAAAGTGTATAACATGGTATGAATATATAGTTCTATATATAATAGGTATATGTGTATGACTGCCTTGTTGGTCTAGTGGTTATAGTGGTGCGACTGCTGATCGTGAGGTCCTGGGTTCGAATCCCGGGTCGGGCCAAAAAATCATTTATTAAGTTTTCCGTCAAGAAATTCTCAGTAACTGCCGGGGGTCAGGAAGTTGGCGGTGTCTCGCCCCCGTGCCTCGGCAAGCACGTAAAGCCGTTAGTCCTGCGCCTGATCTCTCTCCGGTCGTGTCGGTTTACCGTCCCATCCGATTATGTGAGTGAGGGAATAGAGAGTGCAACTGTGCTTGCGCATACACTTGGGCACTATAATCTTGTCCTGCGCGGATGGCTAGCCTCCGTTGAGGCTGGCCGCCGTGGCCGTAATTCGGTCTGGAGGACATTATTATATGTGTATATATTTATGTGTATTGTATTATACAGGCCTTGAGTTCGCCCATTGTTACCTTAGTTGTAAGGTGTTACAATAAAGAATAAATAAATATTTTTTTTATATAAGAGTGACAAACGAGCACAGAGTCCACCTAATGTTAAGTGGATGCTGTAGCCCATAGACATCTACATCTATCCATGATTAGGAATCAAAATGCAGATGCGTTGCCACCACTGACTACTAAGATGGAATATCTCGTTTGTAGTAAAAAGGGAGACCCTTTTTACTACAAACTCACTCTTTTCTCTCACTCACCATACGGATGTAAGTACTTATAAAAAAGGTTAAAAACGACCCAACAAATAGCACACTAAAATCAACTAGTGACCTCATAAAGAAACACTCCGAAAAATTAAATCTGGAAGTAAAATGGATAATACCTACGTGCGCCAAATCACTAAAATTGTATGGGTTACCAAAAATACACAAGCCCAATGCTTCATTACGTCCCATAGTGAGCCAAATCGATTCACCAACTTACAGATTGGCTCAACACTTAGCGAAAATACTCTCACCGCTCAGGGGACATACAAGAGCACACATAAAGGATTCCTTCCATTTTGTCAGCGAGATTAAAGACCTACATTTGGCAGACAATGAAACTATGGTCAGTTTTGATGTGCAGTCATTGTTTACATGCTTACCTGTTGAAGACTGCATCTCAATTGTAACTAGAAGGCTGGAAAAAAACAACATGCCCGTAGAATATGCAGTTTTACTCAGACACTGCCTTACATCTGGCTACCTATTGTGGAAGGAGGAGTTCTACAAGCAAGTAGATGGTGTGGCGATGGGCTCACCTGTATCTCCCATTGTCGCCGACATATTCATGGAAGACTTTGAGGAGAAAGACCTGCTTAGTTCTCCCATAAATCCAAGATTCTACAAGCGGTAAGTAGACGACACTTTGACAATTCTACCTTTAGATAAAGTAACTGCATTTTTAGACCATCTTAACTCTATAAATTCTAAAATTCAGTTCACAATGGAGTTAGAGGCAAACAATTCCTTAGCTTTTCTAGATGTGTTAGTAATTCGGAATCCTGATAACACCTTGAGCCATACTGTGTATAGAAAAAAGACCCATACAGATAGATATTTAAACGGTGATTCTCACCACCATCCTTCACAGTTAGCTACCGTGGGTAAATCTTTGTTTCAGAGAGAACGAGGGATCTGTGACAGTAAACACCTGGCTGCCGAGCTCCACCATGTCAAGCAAGTTTTGCATGACAACAAGCTTCGAGTCCCGCGCCTACGTCACAGTGAACGAGTGAAGCCGGCCACAGTCGAGCGTGTACCTGCTGTACTGCCATATGTTAGAGGAGTCACTGACAAGATTGGCTACATCTTGAAGCGTGCTTCCATCAAAACATACTTCAAGCCGCTGAAGAAGATTGGTCAGTTTTTACCATCAGTCAAGTGTAATGTCCCTCTGCAAGATGCAGGAGTGTACAAGCTTGATTGTGAATGTGGTCTCTCCTACATAGGACAAACTAAAAGATCAATAAAAACCCGCGTTAAAGAACATATAGCTGATATGAAGAATCGACGCTCCGGGAAGTCTGCAGTCTGTGAACACGTACAGGATCGCCCCCGTCACTACATCAGATTTGATAGACCGCAAATACTCGCTAAAGAAGAGCTCCTTCCAAGGATGATTCGCGAGGCTATTGAAATCAAAAAACATCCTAATTTCAATAGAGAAGATGGCTGGGTGCTACCATCTGCTTGGGATCCGATAATAAATAAAATTAAATCCCAACCCAAGCATACAACTGCAAGACTTCAAGATACCATAAGTTCATACTGTATAGATCGGAACAAAAGTTAAATTTTAATCTATGGTAACCGCGGTTAACTATGACATATGGACGTTGAAAATCTGAGTCCCGCCCGTGATCATGAGTGCTGTAAAGCGTTCGAAACGTCGGGTATTTAAAAAGTTAAATATACGCGATAAATTCCGTAAAAACTAGTATTATTTCAATGTGTAGTGTTCGCGTAAATATAAGAAATCATTATGTAAATAATTTACTTCATAAAAATCAATTCGGTTTCACAAGAGGTCGCTCAACAACTGATGCTGGTGTTGAGCTTATTAAATATATCTTTAATGCATGGGAGAATTCACAGGATGCTTTGGGTATATTCTGTAACCTATCCAAGGCCTTCGATTGTGTTCACCATGAAAAATTAATCAGGAAACTTCAACACTACGGTGTAAGAAGTGATGCTCTTAAATTAATTATTTCATATTTAAGTAACAGAACGCAAAAAGTTGTAATTAATAGTATGAGTTCTTCCGGGTCGACTGTACAAATGGGCGTGCCTCAGGGCTCAATTCTCGACCCCTTTCTGTTTCTTGTATATATTAATGACTTACCTTACATAGTAGGGGATAACCATGATATAGTATTATTTGCTGATGATACTTCATTAATTTTCAAATTAAAACGACAGTTATTAAATTACGACGAAATAAATAATGCTACAGCTAAGGTAGTCAATTGGTTTAATGTTAATAATTTGCATTTAAATGGAACTAAAACTAAATGTATGAAATTCGTAACTCCTAATGTCAAACATGTTAATACGAATGTAATTTTAAATGGGGAAGAACTGAGTCTTGTTGATACCACCATTTTTCTTGGAATCACACTAGACTCAAAGCTTCAATGGCTCCCCCATATATCAAAACTAGCTAGCAGACTTAGTTCTGCAGCATATGCTGTAAAAAAGATTAGAACTCTTACCAGTGTTGAAACAGCAAGAATAGTTTACTTTAGTTATTTCCATAGCATTATGTCGTATGGTATTTTGCTATGGGTATACGCGACTGACACTGAAATTATATTTATTTTACAGAAGAGAGCCATTAGAGCAATATATAATTTAAAACCAAAAGAGTCACTGAGACAAAAATTTAAGGAAATTAATATATTAACTCTGGCCTCTCAATATATTTATGAAAATGTAATGTACATACACAAGAATAAACGTAGTTTTGGAGAAATAAGTGATATTCATTCTGTAAATACTAGGAACAGACACAAGCTAGTAGTACCAGTTACTCGACTCCACCGAGTCAGTAATTCATTCTTGGGGCGATCGCTTTTACAACAAAATCCCAGAAAATATACAAAATTTGTCATACGCAAAGTTCAAAAATTTTATTAAACTAAGTTTGTATAAAAAGGGTTATTATAATATTAAGGAATTTATGGATGATAGTAACCCCTGGGAAGGGTGATCGCTACCAAGCTATTTCTAATTTGTGTTGTGTAGTTAACTGTAAACATGATTGTAAGCTATTATTTGAAAAAAAAAAATAGTCCCGCTGGGTTTCTTGCTGGTTCTTCCCAGGACAGAGGTTTTTTTTTTGCGAACCAGTGGTAAATGAAAAAATTGACTTTTAATAAGTATTGCTTATAATCTACATTGAATAAAAAAGGTTCTGTTTCTGTTTCTGTTAATGATGATGATAATGATGAAGTTCCGAATAACCATAAGAGTAAAAGTTGATTTAATTTAAACTATAAACGTGAGTTATCCAAAAAGTAAAAAACCTGTTTGTTGGTCTCTTCCTGCTTGCGCATGATTGCCGCCATCGCAATGTTAACGCGTGGTTTGCGCGCTTCTTTCTTGTCTTCGCCTTTGCTACCATCATCTTCAACCTCCTAAAATAAATTCTACTGTTAATTCATATACCATGATATTATGTTAAAATAAGAAATAATTATTTTGAAATAATAATTGTGAAAAGTTCATTGCATAATTTATATATATTACAAACATGTTTTAAAGTGCACAAAAGAGTATGGGTATGTTCCAAAATACAATCCAGTACACTGGCCAATGCAAATGACGTCATAAATGGACGCCATACTGGTGATTCGTTATATCGAATATGGTGGCATATGGCGTCAATTTATGACGTCATTTGCATTCGCCAATATACTGGAAACATTTCGGAACATACCCTATATGAGTTTGTTGTTGACGCCCAAATCTAGACGAACAGCTGTTTGAGATAAATTTGCAGCATTATTTAATTATTTAACTCATAATTTGCGAGATGCGCATAAGCAAGCGGATAATTTTTTGACAAATAATATTGTGAAAGATACATAATACGAATTGCTTTGTAATTTACTGCACCTTAGAACAAAATTGAAGTAAGGATATAACACATATTGTTTACTAAAAATACTATCCATTCAGTTGAAACTACTATATTTATAAAGTACTAGGGTAAAAATCGATACCGATTTAAAGGGAACAGTTTATGTGCAATTCTGATTTAAATGTTTCTCATTATAGATTAATATTATATACTACGTAATAAAACAAGCATTAATTGGATACGTCAGTAAGCGATCGTTAGTGCCATAGAAAACTATAAAAACAATGGAAATGACACATCTGAACGTTAAGTCACGTGACTAAGCGTTGATTTCATTTCTGTTTTCATTCGGCTAACCCCGCCGATAGCATACAACCCGGTCACATTATCTCGAGACCTGGCGTCGATGACGTCACGTCGCGTCGGCGTTCTGATATAGTGCGCAAAACAAGCATCCTCTAGTTGGATATTATTATAAACAATAAGATTTCCAACAAAACAAATATTGTGTTAATTAATTTAATGTAGTTAATACTATTATAATGATATGATTAAAATGATGGAAAATAAATGAAACAATCTTGATTAAGTGGGTACAAGAAGTGTTTAACACAAAACTACAGACTAAAAATCTTCTTCAGAATATATGATTGGCTCGATGCCAGTCATTGTCTCATTATCGCTATCGCTGATCTCACTGTCCGAATTCTTCTTTCGCCTAGAGATATAATTATTTCACGAACATTTTCTTCTTCAAGGCGGTCTTTCTCCCAATACTCCTGTTGTAATCTTTCAACGTGATTTACTTCTTTTTTCAAGTCTGAAGGTGTGATGTAATTAATCGCATCTTTTGTTAATTTTTCTATTTTGTTTTCCAGACTGGCTAACATTTTTGTCTGCCACCCTTTGCTTCACTAGATTCCAGATATATTCAATCGGATTTAAGTCACAGTGATAGCGTGGCAGACGTACTATTTCCTGACCATTCTCTTTCATTAATTCGTCGAAGACGTATTTTTTTGGAGGCTTTGCCCTCAAAATTATCGGGTACAATTCCTATTTCGTCATGTTCTCGTCAAACGGACCGTTATTGTCACGCTAACAGATTTGAGTGATGCACTCGTGGGTGCCTTTATTGATTGAGTTGAATTGTAAGATGCATTGTCAATGACGACTATACCGTTCGGCGGTAAGTTAGGTAGCAACTTTTCTTTGAGCCATTTCAAGAAATTATCCGTATCCATCGCATGATGATAGTCGCCTGTTGTCTGTTTGCATTTATATAGTATTTCTGTGCCTGATATGAAACCGTTTTCTCCCCCAGCATGCACAAGAATCCATCTCTGGCCGGGGTAAATTTTTTTTACGCTGCTGTCGGTACTATTTTGCCAACATTTATCAACGGTGTAGTGCGAGTGAATCCATGTTTCATCTAGAAACGTAACCGGTTTTTTATCTGCGCCAAGGTCATTGTTTTCTTTCATCCGGCGCAGGTGATTAGCCCTCTACGCGGCAATATCTGGCTTTTATATTAAGATTGTACGGGCATTTTTACATTTTTTGAATTTATATCGCAAATGGTCAATTAAAATTTTTCTAAGGTAACTTCTTTCACCTTTAAAATTTATATCCCATTTAGCGACTGCCAAGATTTTCTTTAATGTTGGGATTTTTTTTCTTACAGTATAAAAACTGTTAATAATATTACGTATGGCACAGATGTCAAAATCATCAATTTCGTATGTAATTTTTATTTGTACTTCTAGCACTTTTTACCTGGTATTGACAATTTTTCTTCACGTGTATCGTTGCTAGAACCTTGACTAGTACTCATACTCTCAGTGTAGCATGTTGCCAAACTAAACCAAAATGTCCAAACTTAACAAAAATGTCCAACGTTGCAACAAAAACAATAGTTTAACGTAACAGCAATAACAAAATAACAATAAAGTTTTAAAAATATACCACGTAAACAAGTCGACGCGTATCGGCAACGAAAGTGCTAACCGTACTGACGCGCCGTGGGGAGCGCGGGGAGGTAAAAGGAGAACGGGGCTTGAGGTTCGCATTCCAGCGAGGTCTCGAGATAATGTGACCGTGTTGTAAGTGTCTACCATCATTTAATCATCTATCCAATTTCAATTCAAATTCTATAAACGATTGCATTGACTTTGTATCTATTTCATTCAAAAATAGCCGTAAACTCATATTTAAAAAAATCTACGTATAAAATGTTTTCGATTTTATTACATACTAGCAACCTGCCCCGGTTTCGCCCGAATAAGATATATTAATGTTGCGTTATTTAGATTTAAAACAATCAAAGACATTTTTTTAATTCTCTAAGTTTTTTAGATATAATATAGTCTAAATTACTCGTCATTGCTCTCTGCCTATCCATGAAATTTCACATATGCCATGATGCAATGATCATGGAACATAGATCATGGATCATGGCATGCATCTAACTCCCTGAGCGCGTTAAAATGCAGTTATTTCAATATGACAGACAGAGACTTTAATTTTATTTATATATAAAGCTTAATATATATTTATATGTAGATCATTTATAACCATAGAATACTATAACAATAACAATAATAACACAATATAATGGCTGTCAACCTTATTTTGTACGAGGAGAGGCGTCGCCGGGATGTGTGCTCCCGACTACAAGAAATTACGTCGTATTATCAGTTAATCACTACTACAAACCCGATTCGCTGTGTTGACAGACAGATTTTAATACATATTTATTTGTAAATAACGTGCAATTTGGCATTTTCTAGATAATTTGCATGGGAAATTCGGAAACGATTGTAACGTCAAAACACATCTTGTGTTGACATTTATACGTGTGAATTGACGTGTTAGTGACATTTTAGTGGCTACACGGGCTCCGCCCACTGCCCCGTTCTATTATGTATGTATTATAGTATTCTATTTTTATAACTAAGCCGCTGTTTAATAGATATTGTTTATTATTATAATAAATAACGAGGAAGGTAAGGGAGGACGTTAAAGTTGTCTTGGCAAACCCAAAAAAAGTAAAACTTTAAAAGTAGAGTTTAAATTGATACCAAAATTAAAATATAGTCTACAGTTTAATAAAAAAAAATTCTGTGTTAATATGGAGTACATCCTCACCTGTTCCTCTTGTGTGGTGGCGAGAGCTCGTTCTTCGCGGGCACGCTCCAACGAACCCTGCGGTTTTAAGATACCCACACGCTTTTCGCGAACTACAAACAAAAATATAAAAGGAGTTTTATGTCAAGCTACAACAGAAACTGATGGAAACTTTAAAAAGTAAATAAATAACATTTGTCAATAAACAAATTTAAATGTTTTATTAAAGAAAAATAGTATAAAAAGGATTATTAAAATATCAAAGAAAACACAAATAAAAATAAACTTTGGGAACGTGATCGCCACACGATATGATAAATAAAAACGTCACGATACTTGTAAATCAAATAATATTTCGAGGGCTACATTAACTGAGAACCAGACTTCTATGGAAACAACTAGACTGCCAATTCAGAACAAAAACGGTACCACAGCTGTAGATCGCGCGGGCGCGTAGCTGGCTCAGTAAATATACCACGCAGTTGTATTTTCATTTACGAAAGTTACTGTTTTTAGGCAAATACGAAAGTTACTTAAAATAAACGTCAAATCGCGTTGATAAAGTGCACACATAAATAATAACAGCGTTTTCTTAATCACATTAATCAAAATCAGTGCTATATTGTCGAAAATAGTTCGCGGTTTATTAAACTAAGAATTAGTTTTCTCGGCCGCTCGCAGTCGTATAAGCAAGTTACGGAGACGTGACCGTGACTTAGTGCGCAATGTATAAGTACCGTAGGGCACTACAGTACTTATACATTACGTCTAGGGTATGTTCCAAAATAGAACCCAGTGTACTGTCATACTGCCATACTGGTGATACGTTCCAAAACATAGGACAGTATATGACGTCATACATTTGCGCCATATTGGAAGTGTTGGCGACTATTTTGTCATTTTGTGCTCCAAAAATCATTATGCCCTCCTAATGGAAATACCAGCAATTATTCTATATTTTTTTGTATTTGAATAAATAAAAAACAAATTCTGGCATACTTCATTCAGCGTTCAGTGGGGGATAAGTCGCTCGCGTCCGTAGGCTTCGACCACCTAATCCTAGGCCCACCCTACACGTTTCCCCCGGGTGGTGCTAAAAGAGCGACAAAGCCGAAAGAACAGACTCGGCTACTCGCCGTGCGGTAGCGGCGTAAAATATGCCACACCCTTGTTTTCGCACCATGAGGCAAAAAGTAAAAGAAATGGCCCCGAGTTCCCGGCGCCCCTTTAATGGAGCAGGTGTGTGAAGAATCTCCGGGAGGAAAACCGGCGACGAGTTTCGCCACCCGTCACGTTCTGTCTCCCAGAGAGACGAAAAGTGGATTGCAGAGGCCCGTCTGGCTACGTTGAATGTATGTGGGGCAATGAATGATAAAATGGATGAAGTATGCGATATGATGTATGATAGAGGAATAGATGTATTATGTGTAAATGAGACGAAAAGGAAGGGGAAGAATGTCACTGCACATGGCATGTATGAGTCGTATACTGCATACTGGTCTGGTGTAGACGAGATCGAGCGGGCATGCCAGGGAGTAGGTATCATCCTTTCAGAAAGAATGGGTCAATGTGTGAAAGAGTATGAATGTGTAAGCCCAAGACTGCTATGGATACAAATGAAAGTGGGCTTAAAGAAGTTGTTTGTGTTAGGGGTCTACACCCCAGACATGTCTAAGCCCACTTATATCCGGGAGCAGTTTTGGGAAATGGTAAGGATGGTATAATGAAGTGTAAGGGAAATGAAAATATTATTATGCTAGGAGATTTTAATGGAAGGGTTGGGTTGAGGAGGCTTGGTTATGAAAGGGTATTGGGAACGTTTGGTGATGAAAGTATAAATGAGAATGGTGAAAGCCTCCTCACCGTATGTGTGGAAAGGAATCTTTTTGTGACGAACACTTTCTTTCGTCATAAGAAGATTCACATGTATACTTGGGAAAGAGGTGATGATAGAAGCATGATAGATTTCATAACTGTGGATGAAAGAATGAGGAGCGCAGTGATAGATAGAAGTACAACGTAGGGACTGACCACTACCTGGTCTTATGCCGAATTAGGGGTTTATACAGACGTTGGCGGCATAGGACATCTGTGTCTACCACTGCATTACACCGTATAAGAATTGAGAGGTTACAAGATGAAGATGTGAAAGACAAGTACAAATGCAGACTGAGAGAAGATATAAGTAATTTGGATGAATTATGTGTGAATGAGTTAGACTTGGAAAATGTGTGGCATAATGTTAATAAAGGTTTAGTGGATGCAGCTACCGAAGTATGTGGTGTTAGTAAGAGAACGAATGAAAGGAAGGACAATACGTTATGGTGGGATGATGAGGTACGTATGGAAGTTGAAGCAAAGAAGAGAGCATGGCTAGATTTACTAGCAACCAAAGCTGGTAATTCTGACGGTAAGAATGATGAGAATGAAAGAAAAAGGGCAGAGTTTAAACGTTTAAATAAGAGAGTAAAAGAACTAGTTGAAAGGAAAAAGCAAGAAAGAACGGATAAGAATGATAGAAGAATATCGGATAACTTCCAGGCAAATATTAAAATGTTCTGGAAACTCGTAAGAAATACCAGGGGACTTTCAAAACAGCCTAGATTGAATGCGATACGAGACGAGAATGGCTGTATCCTGAATGATGAAGTGTTGAGTCTAAAGAGATGGAAGGAATATTTTGAAAGCGTATTTATGAGTGAGGAGAAGTTAAATAGAAATTTCGAAGGAAGATGAAAGAAATAGGGAGATAAGTATAGATGAAATAATGAAAGCAATGAAAAGCATGAAAGTAGGTAAGGCAGCCGGATATGATAGAGTTTCACTCGAAATGCTAAGGGCTGGAGAGGACATGGTGGCAGGCCTGCTGCACACCTTGTTTAATTTATGTTGGGAACTAAAGCGGGTACCAATAATGTTGATAGTCCCAATATATAAGGGAAAAGGGTCACAGCAGGACTGTAAAAACTACCGTGGTATCAGCCTTCTTAGCATTGTGGGAAAACTGTATGCTAAGGTACTCATTGAAAGAGTTATGAAAGAAACTGATGAAAAAATTTCGGATGTGCAAGCGGGATTTAGAAAGGGAATGGGGTGTACAGATCAAGTCTTTTCCATGCGCATGATCGCGGAGAAGTTTTTGGCGAAAAACCAAAAAGTTTTTTGTACGTTCATGGACTTGGAAAAGGCTTATGACAGAGTGGACAGGGATGTGTTATGGCAAACGCTGAACGCATTTAGGTTGAGCGCTGGTTTGATACAGGCATTAAAGTCTCTGTATAGGGACTCGAGTGCTTGTGTTAGAATCAACGGGGTCTACTCGGACTGGTTTGGCATCCATAAAGGTGTCAGACAGGGCTGTATAGCTTCCCCGTGGCTGTTCAACCTATTTATGGACAGTTGTTTGGAAAATTTGAAAGTTGAAGAATGCGGGTTAAGAATGGGTGAGTTAACCATCAAATGCCTTTTGTACGCCGATGATCAAGTCATACTTGCGTCGTCGGCGGCCGAGTTGCAAATGATGGTTACATTAATGAACAGGTCATTAAAAGAAAGGGGAATGAAAGTGAACGCAAGTAAGACGAAAGTGATGGTTGTTGAAAGAGATGAAAGCAAAACGATATGTGAAATAAGAAAAGAAGGAGAGTTAATTGAGCAAGTGGATGAGTTCGTATATTTGGGATGTGTATTCAGCAGGGATGGGAGATATGATAAGGATATTGAACGACGAGTGAATGCAGGACATAAAGTAAATGGGGTTCTACACTCTATTGTGAAAAGTCAAAATATGTCAAAAAAGGCACGTATGGCAATTCACAGTGCTGTATTAGTCCCTACTTTAACGTATGGTAGTGAAAGTTGGGTGTGGCAGAAGAAGCACGAGAGTAGAATAAATGCAGTAGAAATGCGGTCGCTAAGGAGTATGTTAGGGCTGAATCTGAGTGACAGGGTAAGAAACTGTGTGATAAAAGAAAAGTGTGGTTTGCAAGATGATGCGGTGACCAGGATTAAGAAAGGAATGCTTCGGTGGTTTGGTCATGTAAAAAGAATGAATGCGGAAAGACTGACAAAGCAAATATATGTTGCAGAAGTGAATGGAAGAGTCGGAAAGGGACGTTCTAGGCGGAAGTTTGTCGACCAAATTGGCGATATACTAAAAATGGGCCAAATTAGGAGTACCCTTAACCGACGAGCATGTATGCGTAGGTATATGGATGTGGAAGAGGCGAGAAAGGTAAGTCAGGATCGTGCTAAATGGAAGTCTGTAGTCTCTGCCTACCCCTCTGGGTGACAGGCGTGAGTGTTTATGTATGTATGTTCATTCAGCGTACACACAATAAAAAATTGTTTTATTATACCCGAATATCCGACACAATATGGCGGCGGCACGCCAGTACAGTATGGCGTCAATTAATGACGTCATTTGTATTCGGCAGTATACTGAAAACGTTTTGAAACATACCCCTAGTATATTGAAGTCCTTGCTGAGAACGAAGAGTTCTGCTTTTTTCTGGTACCCCTTCCTCCATTGTTACAATTACGTTTATAGAGTTCAGCCTTACCTTTCTCCCTAAAGTCAGCTTCGGATATAATAACGGGCGGCGGAGGTGGCGGTCGTTCGTCTTCGCTATCGTCCAACTCGTCGGCCGACTTGTCATCCGATGGGTCCGATTTCGCGACCATAGCCAACTCCGCTAGAGCGCGTGTCAGTTGCTCCCCGCCCGATGTAGTCGCCGCGAATGTTATAGAACCGTCTTCTTGTCTGTGACGTGTGCATGATATTTTAGTAATCTGTACAACACTTGCCCATGTAATGGCGGGTAAGAATATCTCCTACTCTACCCGTGGGTGTCGTATGAGGTGACAAAGAGAAACTGAGGCGGTAGATAAACAGCAGCATCTTTTTGTTAAAAACTGCGGTTGCCATCCCGCTTACCAAACGTGGAAACTATGGAATATGGGGTATATTCGTCCACTACGACAATTACGAAAGGACGCCCCCAGTCCCCTGCGGCAACGCTTTTCCTAGCTACGGTGGCAACCAAATTCAAATGGCGAAAAAGAGTGGACCGCAACCATTTTTCATACAAAAATTTGACGAATTTACTTTCGTCCCAATTCGACGAAAGGTTCACGCGGTTTTCTACAAGAACGAGATTCCAACTATTGAAAAGGTAAAGTTATTGCTAATTCTTTAACCCCTCGTTGCTGACATCCCCCATTGTTTTATAACTATACTTTAACCTGTGTTGCCTGTCTACATTTTAACTGTAATGTAAATGCTAATTTCGTATTCACCAAAAGTAGCTGGTGATCCAGACATGCCTGTTATGTCGAAATCAACATTAAGAAAAGTATTAAAGCATTAAAATTTTAAAAATTCAAGTCGCAAACGTCGAAGTGCGCTAACAGATCGCAAGGAGATAGTACTATGGCGTCAAAAATACTTGTACCAAATTAAACAATATAGAAGAGAAGACAGAATTATATATTATCAGGATGAAACATGGGTAAACAAAGGCAAGTATTGAATAATGTGGTAATTAACTTTTTATAACCAATTTTTTCTACAAAGTATTAGTTGGCAATCAAATTCTGTACTTAAGTGACACTTAAATTAACTTTGTTAATAAATTTCTGTTGCCAAAATGAATAAATAATTAAAGAAATGCAAATTTATAGGTAATATTTATCAATTTATATGCGTATATAACTGTTCTCATGTTTAAGCGAAATATTAAATATATTTTTATTTTCAGGACGTACTGTCAATAAAGTGTGGTGTGATACCAACATTCAATCTTCACGATAAGCTTTCCTCGGTGGCTTGACAACAGGGCTTAAGGCACCTACAGGCAAAGGGAGGCGACTTATAGATAGCCATATAGGGAGCGAAGAAGGATTTTTGGAAGATGTCTTATTGCTTTTTAAGGCAAAAAAAGGCTTGGCAGATTACCACAAGGAGATGACTGGGGAAGTATTTGAGGAGTGGTTCACAAAAATACTTCCAAAATTAAAACCAAACTCAGTAGTAGTGTTGGATAATGCTCCCTATCATTTGAGGATGGTCGAAAAAGTACCAACAAGTACATAAAGAAAAGGCGATAACCAAGCGTGGTTGACTTCAAATTTTTTTAATTTTAAATAAATAAATGCTAAAAGTTATATTATTAAGCTATTGCATAGCTTCTATCGCGGGCCTTGAGTGCGGGAAAATCCAGAAATTTCGTAACGAAAAAAACCTCACGCTCTCCGACGGGCACGGAGGTGTGGCTTGAAGGCCGTGCATTGTCTAACGATGGTCTAACGTCGTTTCTTTTCCTCAGTCTTCGACACGGTGTTTGTGTATAAAGTGTTTTGAAATTTTGAATATGAATGAACAAAGTGTATTTATTATTAAGGCTGCTCTCTCGCAAAAAGCTTGAAAAAAGCGTGCAGATGAACCAACTTTTCGCCGACACTTACAGAGAAATTACAAATGAAAAAAATAGCTAGTAATCTACATGATCTGATACGTAATTTGGTTTAGCCATAATTTTTCTATCGGTGTCACATAATAAATAAAAAAATACCCAAATCACCTCCAAATCGTTGAGATGAAACCACTTTACTCCTTCATTGTTTATCAAAGGAATATAAAAAAATATCTACTGCTTTGCAATACAAAATAAAATAATTTGGTTTGGTTACTTTTTAGAAATATGTATTATTTTTATGATAATAAATTAAAAATGCGTCCCGATTAAATACTGCGTCTATATCACCCCCCGCATTCGTCCACGAATTCAGTGCGGGGCGCATCGTGTTGCTAGGTGGACGTACGCCGCGTTGCGAGAGCTCAGCACTACGAAATAAAATCGTAAAAAATTACTGCAAAAATTTAATTTTGTTAATAGTGGAGTAGGTTTTTTCTGATTCTTGTTTAATAGTAGTGTTTTATGGTTATATTAATTGTACAGTTTTTCTTTTGTTAGTTTGTAAAACATGGGGAATAAGCAGAAACGATTGAAGAGAGGTCTAAAAAAATATTACAAACAAAAGGGTATACATTTATCAAGGTAAGTTTTAAGTTTTATCTACATATTTCATAATATTAGACAGGTGCTGTTTATAAAATACCTATATTACTGTGATTTCGCCACTCTGTGACGAGACAAAGCGCGGCAAACGCAAGTGGCGGCAAGGCGCGGGCCGCGTCGTCGCATGCTGGTTTACCTCGAAATTCACTATACGCGATTATCGTTTATTGATTATATGTTGTTTAAAAAGTATTCTTATCAGTTTTTTTTTGTGTTAAATGGATGCTAAATATAAAAGAATGCTTCAGTATTGATAGCAATTTATTAACGAAATATCTGTTGAGATGTGTCTAGAAATTATTAATACTTATTTTTATTTATTTATTAAAATAATAAATAAATAAAAATAAGTATACATTTATCTATATTGAGTACTAGTTATTTCCCGCGATCTCGCCCGCGTAGAATATGGATTTCATGGCTTTTAATTTTTTTGCGCGGAACCCTAATTCTTTTTCTAAAACAAAAGTAGTTCAAGTTATTCCTTATATCATCAGCTATCTGCCAGTGAAAGTCCCGTCAAAATAGATCCAGCTGTTTCGGAGATTAGCTGGAACAAACAGACAGACCGACAGACAGACAAAAAATTTAAAAATTGTGTTTTTGTTACTAGTACTTTCAAAAAAGCTGTTATTTTAACATTACAAACAGACACTTCAATTTTATTTATTTGTAGATATAGATATAAGATATTATTCATATTGGTGTCATTTTAAAGGGAATATCATGTACTATTATAATAATAAAATAATTGATAGGACTATGACACCACTAAGGGAAGTGAAATTTTGATATAGGTAAATTCATGTCTTTATCTTGAATTTGATTGCTCAAAAAACACGATAGTTTAATTTTGACTCGATCATAATTATTTGCGAAAACACCTCTAAAAAACCACTATAGTTGAAATTACAACGAAATTACTTAATCTATATGCTTCGAAATCACTCAAATATATTCATAACATTAATATTCATAATTTACTTGCTCATTATTTTGATTACTCAAATCAATAATTTTTACAAAAATATTTTAAAGTTTCTGAGAATTTCTAAGCGCTTTTAATCGTCGCCGGCGCTACGCTATTTTAGACCTTATGAGGGCGTTTTTTCAAGTTTTTATAGAAATTATGCATTCACTCGGATCAGTCCGGCGATAGCTCCTTCGAGGTGTCGTCTTAACGCAATTCCTTTGTATAGTGCGACGTTGCCACTCTTATTAGTTATTCCGCTTCGTAATATTTTATTTATAGGTGATATTTTGTTTATGTAGGTATTCGATAGATTCCTATAGTCTGTTTTTTTCGCAGGAGACAAAAATAACAGATCTTTATTAGATTCGTTTAGCCCGAATAATACAGTTTTTATGATTCTGGTTCAGATTAGATTTAATTTTAGTCACTTAAGTATCGTATATTGTTCAAAATAATGAAATAAATCCACAGAATCTGCAGTTACGAAAAAAAGCAATATCATTTTAGTCTCCGGCGAAAAAAAAAGATATATATCATGATTAATTTACCAACTAGTTATTCGTTTACTAAATACGAAAAAATATCTAGGATTGCCCAGCCGTGATACATTACAGATTGACTATATTATCATTTATTTTACTATTGTAAATAAGTACTAATTGTAGATATTGACAGGTTTAATAGAAGTTCATTTTCTTATATTGTGACTAATAACCTAATATGACCTTGGGAAGAAACTCATTTTAATATAAGGTTTTACTGCATTAACTGCCAATGGGTTGTTAATTTCTACAATAGACTGTGGCGTATTATTGCTGACATGAATAACTCCGAAAATATAATTTATTTACTTGATCGTGTTGAGTTTTTGTGCTCTCACTGCGAGTTTACTTTTTATGATCACTATCTTAAGGAAGAGTGCGAACTATTGACAGGCCTGTTGGTCTAGTGGTTAGTGACCCTGACTGCTATGCCGGAGGTCGTGGGTTCGATTCCCACCCAGGACAAATGTTTATGTGATGAGCACGATCATTTGTTCTGTGTCTGGGTGTAATTTATCTATAATATTTATGTATTTAGAAATATATAAGTATGTTTATCAGTTGTCTGGTACCCATAACACAAGCTCTGCTTAGCTTGGGACTAGATGGCGTTGTGTGATAGTTGTGGAATATTATTATTGTGGAATATTATTACTATTTACCTAATCTGTACAAAATTACTCTATACTTAACTAGATTCATTTTTGTGAAAGGCTATTTTTGTTAAATTAAGATATTATGTTTGGTTTTGCAGTTATTTGAATTACGTCGTATGACGTCAGATTATCGGTAAAGTTTAATACCGCACGATATTTGACGTCCATATAACCATGAATATATTTATATTTTAATTCCTTGTGTATAACACACGCATTATGATCATTGATTTAATGACATTTTTCGCTATTGTTTTATTCGTATTTTAGTGTATGGAGGCCATACGGTGTAAAATAGTCAATTTGGTGTTTTATAAAATGTTTCGTTCTAGAAATGATACAACGCTTAGAAGCTTAGAAAACGTGTGTGAAAAATTAAATTGTAATTCAAATAACTGCAAAACCAAACATAATATCATAATTTCACAAAAATAGCCTTTCACAAAAATGAATCTAGTTAAGTTTTGTTTTGGTGTGTCATTAAACTATTTATACAAATTATTTATATCTATTATTTATACCTAGATATTTTCGTTTTATAGAGAAGAAAAGCGTAAAGAGCTAAAAAGAAAAAATAAATAATTAATTATAATTGCATAAGTTGATAAAAATGCTATGCAATAGCTTTACCGCGGCAGTCCCCGAGTGCCACACGTCTTTTTTTTTGGAAATTGTGGGTCAGGAGAAATACAAATACCAACAGTGTATTGTAGACGAGATGGCCGCAGCACAAGGCATTACTGTACTTAGGCTGCCCCCATATCATTGTGAGCCCAATTCTTTTGGATTGGTGTGGGCATGTCGCAGACACAACAGAAGTTTTAAAATAGCGGAAGTTAAAAAACTATTACTGGAAAGTATAAGGAATGTTACTCCTGATAAATAGCAAGAATGTATCAGCCATACAATCAAAAAAGAAAATAAGAGGTGCACTCTTTAATAATTCATATCAGCGATGATGATGATGATGATGATGATGATGATGATGAAGATAGTGATATGAGTATTAATGACGATTAAAGATTTTAATAAAAATATATTATCTTGTGTGAAAAAATATGTTTCTTGACGAAAAACTAACTAAACTGATTTTTTTTGGCCCTACCCGGGATTTGAACCCGGGACCCGATGATCAACAGTCGTACTACAACAACCACTAAGACCAACGAGGCAGATGTATTAAGGCCACAGAGCCTGACTAGTATACATAGAAGTCTTTGTCTAAAAATGTGAAAAATTGTACTCCCAGGCATGTCACTCGAAAGTATTACTCACGTGCTGCATGAGAACTGTTCGGAATGTTGTTCGGCGAGCCGCTTGCCGAGCTTCACGAGCCGATACGCCCGGACTTTGTCCTCCAACTCCGGTTCGCTGGTGAAGCACGACGTGGCGATGCCCGATGGACTACTGAAATTTAAATGAATACACAAGATGTTTTTATATATTTTTTATCAATATAAATTATAAATAACACTAATTGAAGAGCACTCTTACGTTTAATTTACCACTGGGGTTCAGGAAATATCTCTGCACTAGAAGAACCAACAGGAAAGCCTACTATCATATTTGTTACACATTAACAACAAAAACAAATTAGAAATAGCTTGCTAGGGGTCAACTCATTCCCGGGGATTATTATCATTCATAAATTCTTTAATATTATAATGACCTGTTTTATAAAAAAAAATTAATAAAGTTTTTGAACTTTGCGGACGTCAAATTTTGTATATTATATGGGATTTTGTTGTGAAAGTGTATACATCACCCCTAGAATGAATTACTGACTCGCTGGAGTCGAATCTAACAAGGAACTGCGTTGGTGGGCAGATAGGGTGATGAAGGGCATGAGGTAAGGAGTAGCTAAAGGAACATTCCAGGATACTGTGGAACTTTCCAAAAAGTGAAGATTTCGTGTTAATGCACATCTTTGACCACAAATCCTCGCTAAAGAACACCGATTCCTTCCAAGGATGATTCGCGAGGCTATTGAAATCACAAAACATCCTAATTTCAATGAGAAGATGGCTAGGCGCTACCATCTGCTTGGGATCCTATAATTAATAAAGTTAAATCCCAATCCAAGCACACAACTGCAAGACTTCAAGATATTATAAGTTCATACTGTGTAGATCGGTACAAAAATTAATAATTTTAATCTGCGGGTAACCGCGGTTAACTATGACATCTGGACGTTGAACACCTCAGTCCCCCTCCCCCCACCGTGACCATGGGTGCTGTAAAGTGCTGATGTGAATGAATATAAAAAGTTATAATAAGCGATAAGATCCGTAAAAACTAGTTTTATTTAAATAAGCCCCGACTACACATTTAAATGTGTAGTGTTCGCGTAAATATAAGAAATCATTATAAATACAGAATGGTCGTACCGCCTATCAGAATTTCAAAAAATCATCCGTTGCTAATTGGTGGCGTTTGAAGCTTGCAGTAAAATAAATTATTTATAAAAATCTAACAAAAGTTCATCACTAAACATAGCCTCCGCTCCCCCATTAATGGTCTAATATCGCCCATTTTTACCATGACTGTCTCGTTGATTTAGGAGTCTTAAGAGCGATCGCTGATCATATGGTCACTGATGCCAATTCAGGGTCGGGCCAAAATTACTTATTTGGTTTACTGTTAAGAGCCCTCTTACATTTCGCCGTTACGCAAATTTAGGTATTTTACGCACCGAACGGGCGACGACCTACGCGAGCGATACTTTATTTCATAATATCTATTCACTCGCTCGCACTATGATACTGTGAGTATAGCGACTAAACGATCTTGATCAACCATTATACAAGTTTTCTTAGAGTGGAGTTCAGTGGATGGAAAATTTATGGTGTCATTTATTTATAGGGTAGGGTAACAAACGAGCACACAGTCCACCTGATTGTAAGTGGTTGCTGTGGTCCATAGACATCCACATCTATCCTCGATTACGAATCAAAACGCAGGTGCGTTGTCACCCCTGAGGACCGAGATGGAATGCCTCACTTTCAGTAAAAAGGGTCTCCGGTTCTATACACTTACCATACGAAACACAGCAACATTAAGCGACTATTTTACGCTGGTATTCTGTGAGAGCGTGGTCCTTCCCCGGTCAAACCGACCCATTCGTGCTACAACTATACTACTAATATAACTGCAGCATGGCTCCACCACGTATAAGACTACGAGAGTAAAAGAAAAGCGAGTACATCTGTACACTATTGCACTGTAATTTTGTCATGCGCAGATGGCGCTCTTCATTGAGAATAGTTGCCGTGACCGAAATTAGGCCTGGAGAATATTATCATTACAGACTTAAATAAATATGTGAAAAAGTAAAAAAAGCAAAAAAGTTTACCCAGTATCACCATCCTGACCCGCCTCCAGTTCAGGCAGCCTGCCACCGTAGGTGTCCCACGTGGTGTGATAGGAAAACTTCAGGCCTTTGAAAGCTTCTTCCAGAGGCAGGAACCCGTGCAGCTCCTCGTCTTCAGGCAAGGGTACTGTGTCATCTGAAGAAGATATTTTTCATAATTATGTGCCAGACTTGGTTTGTATATGTACTGCTCAACAATTCAGTAGCTGACTCTGTTCAATACATTGAACACATGAATATTTAGGTAAACCTGCTATAAAACATAAATAATAATAAAGTAAGATACATAGTATAGTTAGCTATATATATTTATAACTGGCTTCGCACGGTTGATTTCTGTATATCGGCAACAATGCCATCTACTGGGTCCAATTGTGAATTTAAACAATTCTTAAATCATACCTAATCAGACACAAAATTTAATCAAAATCGGCCAAGCTGTTTAGTTCAGCTACATACACACGGACAGAAGATCCTTTCAGAATTTATATATATCCCTTCAACAGTAAACGCCATTACAACTACCTAATAATGCCTGGGCCAAAAAAGTTTCATATTTTACTTAATTCGGGTTATCTTGTATTTTATGGGAATAATGCTATGGTTTATACAAAAAAACTATTATAAAAACGTTTTTCTCACCTAAGTTTATATAAAATTAGTGCTAAAAGCGAAGTAATAAAATTGTTTAAATATCAGGGTACCTAATTTTCGTAAAAAAAACAAAAAAAAAACACACTAATTACGCAACAATAGAGAATGAAAACACACAAAACTACGTGCAAATATTAAAGATAATTTATATTTCTCAATACTCAGATGTTTTCAGCAATAATAAACAAGACAAAAACACTGAATACGAGATTATGAACAAGCACTGAATTGGCGCGATTTAATTGACGACTTTAGAAGGGCTAATCAAATTCGTCAACGAATTATAGATTATAAATTATTTGTTATCTAGATTTTTCTATCAACAAGCCTTTCCATAAATATGAACAGGGAAGGAGGGAGTGAGGACTGAGTCATATCTCACGACATTTCAACAGGGGGGAGTGGGTTAGAAAAATCGCCTCAAGTAATTAATGGACGCCCGGTTACCAGTGGTAGGGAGGATTTGCTACAATCGCCAAGCTTGGTAGACGGATAACAGGCAGTACCTGACGTCTCGGACCTTATTAGTCCCCTTTGCCGGTCTGGATATTTCACATTTGGTATACGAATATTATATATAATATATAGGGAGGGAATATTATATATAGGGAGATTTTGCCATAGTGGTCACGTTTAACAGAGTTGGCAACCGGGGTTTTTGATGATTTTGAGTTGTAATCTGAAAGAGGCTCTGGTGATTGTTAAATGTCATATTTTTTAAATCTGAGTGAATAATGGGTGAAAGAAACTTTACAGTATCCTCTAGTTTAGTAGTCAATATGAATGAATGTAGTTTATATGTAATATAGTGACAGTGGCTAGCCTACTACCCCATAACATACCGTGGGTGTCGTAAAAGGCTACAGAAGAAAACAAGGAAGATGAGCAGCAGTGACTTCGTAATAACAAGTAAAAATAAAACTTGTGGTTTCACATTCGCCTGTTGAGTGTGACATCTATGGATTATAGTTCTCAAGTATATGCGCAAACCGTGGTAGCTCAGATGGTTAACACTCGCTGTAAATACATCTGAACGCGAGTAACCCGGGTTCGATCCCCACCGGCACCAATGAAATTGTTAATTGCAATTTTAAGTGCTGATTTATCACGTGCTCGGCGGTGAAGGAAAACATCGCGAGGAAACTTGCATGTCTGAAAAATAAGGAAAACAAATTTCGAAGAAAAGTGAAGTTCGCCAACACGCATTGGGGCAGCGCGGCGGACACTTCGTTGACCTAAAACCTTCTCAGAAATGAGGGGAGGCCTGTGCCTAGCAGTGGGACGTATGTAGGCTGTAACTTTTATATGCGCAAAAAAGGTGCATACAGGCACGCTGCGATCGTTCTCCGAAGTTGCTTGCAACATCAAAGGACTGTTGAACTTCTTCGGGGAGATTTCATGGCTCGAATTATCACATTATTCCTGCCCACACGCAAAATACGCGCTTAGACGTGGAGTTGCGGAAAACAGCCCGTCGTAAACTAAACTAAACACAGGTGCACTCTCTATTCCCTCACTCGCATAATCCGATAGGACGGTAAACCGACACAACCAGAGATAGATCAGGCGAGGACCAAAGGCTTTACGTTCTTTTTGAGGCACGGGGGTGAGACAGTGCCAACTTCCCGACTCTGGGCTGTAACTGAGAATTTTTGACGGAAAAACTCAATGACAGTTTTTTTGGCCGGATGCCAGCGCGTGGGCGAGCGTGTGCGCCAGCACCGGCCACAGCAGCGGCCTCGCGCGCCACGCCGCTGCCTCCAGCGCCTGAGGCCTGCCCTCCATCCAGTGTATATGCACAATGTTCAGGGTTACACTCACAGAGGTCCGCAGGCAGCAGGGCGGCACGCGGCGCCAGCGCAGCCAGGGTGTGCGTCAGCGCCAGCCACAGCTGCGGCCGCGCGCGCCACGCCGCCGCCGCCAGCGCCTGAGGCTTGCCCTCCATCCAGTGTATATGCACAATGTTCAGGGTTACACTCACAGAGGTCCGCGGGCAGCTGGGCAGCGCGCGGCACCAGCGCGGCCAGTGTGTGCGTCAGCGCCGGCCACAGCTGCGGCCGCGCGCGCCACGCCGCCGCCGGCGCCAGCGCCTGAGGCTTGCCCTCCATCCAGTGTATATGCACAATGTTCAGGGTTACACTCACAGAGGTCCGCGGGCAGCAAGGCGGCGCGCGACACCAGTGCGGCCAGCGTGTGCGCCAGCGCCGGCCACAGCTGCGGCCGCACGCGCCACGCCGCCGCCGCCAGCGCCTGAGGCTTACCCTCCATCCAGTGTATATGCACAATGTTCAGGGTTACACTCACACAGGTCCGCGGGCAGCAAGGCGGCGCGCGACACCAGTGCGGCCAGCGTGTGCGCCAGCGCCGGCCACAGCTGCGGCAGCACGCGCCACGCCGCCGCCGCCAGCGCCTGAGGCTTGCCCTCCATCCAGTGTATATGCACAATGTTCAGGGTTACACTCACAGAGGTCCGCGGGCAGCAAGGCGGCGCGCGACATCAGTGCGGCCAGCGTGTGCGCCAGCGCCGGCCACAGCTGCGGCCGCACGCGCTACGCCGCCGCCGCCAGCGCCTGAGGCTTGCCCACCATCCAGTGTATATGCACAATGTTCAGGGTTACACTCACAGAGGTCCGCGGGCAGCAGGGCGGCACGCGGCGCCAGCGCAGTCAGGGTGTGCGCCAGCGCCAGCCACATCTGCGGCCGCGCGCGCCACGCTGCTGCCTCCAGCGCCTGAGGCCTGCCCTCCATCCAGTGTATATGCACAATGTTCAGGGTTACACTCACAGAGGTCCGCAGGCAGCAGGGCGGCACGCGGCGCCAGCGCAGCCAGGGTGTGCGCCAGCGCCGGCCACATCTGCGGCCGCGCGCGCCATGCCGCCGCCTCCAGCGCCTGAGGCTTGCCCACCATCCAGTGAAGCCAAACTTTCACTGAAACAAATTCATTTTTTATACAATAATGGTGGCTAACGAACCCACAGTTCACCCTCGTGGCAAATGGATGCTGTGCCGCAATGACATCTATATTTATCCTCGAATCAGAATCAAAATGCAGTTGATTCTCGTTCCTAAGGATGGAATGCCTTGCTTCCAGTAAAAAGGGTCTCCGGTTCTCTACACTCACCATACGAAGCACAATACTATTAAGGTGCAATATTAAGCTGGTGTTTTGTGAGAATGTGGTGCTATACCCTGTTCTAGCCGACTCATCCTTGCTACAGCCATATAGCTACAGTGTGGATCTGCTACGTATCATTACATAAGTCTTATTTTTGTATATAGTGCACACACAATCTAGCTGATGGTAATTGAATAATGTGGTCCAAAAACATCTATCTTCAAATAGAAACAGGGCCCGATCTAAAGAGGGTCAAGCCGACAATTTGCCTAGAGCGGCAAAAAATGAGTGGCGACAAAATTGACTTATTCCTATCTTCCAACCTAGCCATTAGCCATCCACCACCCAAGTTGGCAGGTTGATAATTTTATGAGTGTATTTATTTTATGTAAATATTTAAGTATTTAACTGAATTATTTTAGCCCCTCAGCCGCCAACTAAAATAACTAACGCTCGTTGCGCGTTGCTAAAAATAACCTAACCATGAATTTGTCGTACATTTATTTTCAATTTATTAAACACTATACTAAACACTAATGAAAATTTAGAAAAATCCAAAAATCAACACAATAACACGCCACTCGAAATAGGCGTACGAAATTAACGTAGATTATAAATAAAAAACCATAAACTAATTACTTTTTGTTGCATTAGAGGATAGGAAATTTCACATTGAGCCTATAATGCCAAACTACTTCATAGAAAAGTAGTCCGTAAATATAAATTTTTATGGGTTAAAGTGCTGTGGGTGGGTGCGGTCTCATGAGACCACTATGGATTTGACGGAATATGGTCGCGGTCGCATGCGACCGCTTGGGGTTTGAGAGGTTAGTTCGAAAGAAAATGAAAGAAGAAGTAGGGATCCGCAAAAAGTACCGATAGTTGAGTAGTATCGATACTTTGATTTCGATACTAAGTATATTTGAACACGATACTTTTGTTCCGATATTTTTGAGGTATCGATACTTTTAGAAGTACTCGATACTTTTAACAAAATTTGAGTCACACCATTATATTTGGATCGTAGGAGTAGGGGATTACCCATCTACAGACAATAGCTTATGTTTAGAGCGTGTGTTGCCAGTTTCTCGTAATTGGTACTTATTTAGTAGATTTATTTTTATTAATTAAGTAAAAAATAATTTTATGCAGTTAATCCTGATTTACATTTTTACTGCTGCTCTAATTTATTTTTGTACCGATATTAATACGCCGAAATTTAAATTTAGTTAGTTTGATACCATTATAAAGTGTCTCATTGGTGATAAGTTCCGAACTCCAAGTTCCGAAATTTCTCGGATAATATTTGACATTACGCATATTACTCAATCGGAAGTTTTAAAAATAAATTATACTCGATCCCTAACAAAATCGATACTTTTGTTTCGATACGAGAGATAAAGGATTATACTATTTTTCCATTACATATTTAGAACACTCCTAGTAAAAATGTTCTGCCCCAGAGACAGATTTTTGTCATATTCGTGAATAATGTAGCGGTTAATAAGTGATACAGAATTAAAATGTTTTATCCATTTATGTAAAATATATGCTAAGTCTACAAATTGTTTCTATTCTTAAATTTAATACACACATACATACATAAACACTCACGCCTCGTCACCCAGAGGGGTAGGCAGAGACTACAGACTTCCATTTAGCACGATCCTGACACACCTCTCTCCTCTCTTCCACATCCATATACCTACGCATACATGCTCGTCGGTTAAGGGTACTCTTAATTTGGCCCATTTTTAGTATATCGCCAATTTGGTCGACAAACTTTTGCTTAGGACGTCCCTTTCCGACTCTTCCATTCACTTCTGCAACATATATTTGCTTCGTCAGTCTTTCCTCATTCATTCTTTCCACATAAGTTATTAATTATTCCCTTAAATTATTATACATAATATATAACATACATATAAATATTGAAGGGCGCGTGTGAATTTACTACGTAAGTATCTATCTATTTTATAAAGTAAATTGTAGTACATAAAAATACGTAATATTGAACACACCTTGCTAAAAAGTGTACTTACTTTTTGTTCCTGAAGGTAAACGGTAAAATAGTTTTAGTGCCGATTTCACCATCTCCGGTTAGACTATTCGTCAATTGAAAATTTCCAGTTTTTTGACAGTTGTTGTATGAGTTTGACAGTTCTTATTGGACAAATAAGCTATTTGGGACTTTACTATCAGGTGGTGAAACCGGCCCTTAATTTAATATTGACCGCAAGATTGAAGGTATATTAATCGTGTGAAAATTAACATTGCTCCTCTTTCGGCTTGTTAATTCTCATCTGTGACTGCTCACTAGCAGTAACCCGCGGCTTCATTCACGCGCCCACCGTAATTATAATTCTCGTGGGAATGAGTAACTTTTCTGATGTAAAAAGTATGTCAATGTCCTTTTCCAAACCTCAATTTATATCTGCATACCAAAATTTTTCCAAATTGATTCATTGGTTTAATCGAAAAAACGTAGCAGTGAGAGAAACAGAATGACTCGAATTTTTAACATTAGCAGTGTTATAACATCTATTTAAAGTAGACGTAATTTTGAATTTCGAAAATTGTATGAAGCAACCAGGCCTGGTTTTGTACAAGTAGGGAAATAAATTAAAATAATATGTTATACCACTTTTAGTCATTCAAATCCACAAATTTGCTTTTATTTCAGTGGTATTAATATTTTATTCTTACCAAAAACTGCAATAAGTCGTTTTGACGTTAGCTGTCAACTGTCATGAAGTTACTGATCAATTTATTGATAGATATTAGAACTATGAAATGCTGTGTTATTCTTAATCTCTGATAGCCTATCAGGTAGATTTATTAAGTATTTATTTAGTCATTATAGACTTATGTAGAAAAAAATGATTGTTAACATATTACCGATAGAAGCACGTTATTCAAATGCGGTTAATAACATAAGGAAACATCTTTCTTTACATACCTGCCTAGTCATTCAAAATGTAATTCTACAGATGTCCGATATCAACGCATTCAAAATCTCACGTAAATCATGAATTCCATAAAACATAAGCCGAGTGGAACAAGTAGATCCAAAGTCCAAACAAAAAAAAATCATCAAAGAAATCCATAAGATCAAGAAAAAAATATGAGATTGTAATAAATGAATTTTTTTTAGGATTTGTACCTATCGAGAAATTTACAGGTCTGGCACTAACAGAAATCATCGGCGAACAACTATCAGAAATTGGATTGTCTTTAGAAAACATAAGAGGGCAAGGGTACGATAATGGATCTAAGATGAAAGGTATTCAAAGTGGCGTCCAAGCCAGGATTAAAAAACATCAATCCACGGGCATTTTACGTTCCTTGCAGCTTCTTTAAACTTAATGGTAAACGACATGGCAAAGTCCTCAATGGAATGAATATACTTTATTGTACACCACGATACCACGATACCACGCGAGACGAAACTTCGGGTTTGTTGAACTAAATTAAACAGTTTAAATGAATGAATATACTTTATTGTACACCACGATACCTCCACGCGAGACGAAACTTCGGGTTTGTTGAACTAAATTAAACAGTTTAAATGAATGAATGAATGAATAAACTTTATTGTACACCACAAACAAATTTACAAAAAACATAACAAAGAGCAAATTACATGTACAATTTGGCGGCCTTATCGCAGTTTAAATTTTTATGTTCTATTATAATTTGGTACGAAACTTTCGCATAAACTCTGTTAGTAAATTAATGTAAAGTAAAGATTTTGATTTAGTTTCCGTCATTAAATTACTTAGAAATACAAAAGATTTCTTAGAAAAATTACATTCAGATAAGTATTTTACTCAAGTTCTTGAAGACGCCAAAGCCTTAGCTTCTGGATTGTTCTCTGTGTTAGACTTTGAAAATGTGGCTAGACCTCGTGTATCAAAGAAAAAGCAATTTACTTATGAGTGTGTTGACGAACCAATTATTGGACCTCGTCAAAAATATAAAACTGTAGTATTATTTCACATTATGGATACAGCCATAAACTCCTTAGAATTAAGATTTCTGAGCACACTAAACATTTTGCTATTTTGTATAAAATACATGCCTTAAGAGAACTCTTAATAGATGAATTTTAGAACATTGTAAGAACCCCGAGGCTATTTTAACTCATGAGAACTCAAGCGATATAAATGCATTAGAACTTTGTGAGAAGTTGTCAGTCCCTTGCATGTTTTTAAATAGCAATTTATCTCCTCAACATGTTTTGAAATTTGTAACATTTAAGATTTGGTCCAAATATCAGTATTGCGCTCAAGATCCTTGTGACTTTACCAGTAACAGTTGCAAGTGGTGGAAGAAGCTATTCTAAATTACAAATAATAAAAAATTATCTGCGATCCACCATGACAGAATAGATTATCTGGATTGGCTATGATTTCAATAGAACACAAAGTTTGCGACAGTATAAGTTTATCAGATATTATTAAAGATTTTGCAGAACAAAAAGTGTGAAGAAAATTACTATAATTACGAGATTTTAAATATTCTCCGAAAAACTGTTTAATTTACACAATTTCATTATTTTAATAAATGACTGATTTGTTTTATAGTAATATAATTGTTTTTTTTTTCAGTATTAAATTTTGAAACAAATCTTTTGCTGTATTGCTTTTTTATATGTACAGTATGAACCTTAACTTAAATACATATGAACTGTTAAACAGCTTGGTCCTTATCTTGTTAACTTCTTAAACGATTTTGATGAAAAATGCTTATTGTTTCTTTAGTCAAAGGGTCATACATACATAGGCAAGGTTAGCCCGAGACAGGGAAAAATAGCACCTGGGAAAAAAGGCCCATATGTAGCAGTGAGTCACAGTAGGTTTATGATGATGATAAAGTTGAAAGGTACATTAACTATATCGATAAAAAGATATATCAATCCATTTAGTAGTTTCTGTGAAATTCTTTAAAAAACTAACATAAAAACACTCATCAACTTCCGTATAGGTACTTCTTCAGAAGGCCCAATAGACTGATGTAAATATTATAGGTAGGTATGATCCCAACAATAACACTTATTTTATGTAGATACTTGTTTACTTAACATTCCCCAACATAACTAGCTCATGACTTACATGGTTATGTATAGATAAAGGGCGGCGAAAATTATCTTTGCCCGGAGCGGCTAAATAGCTAGATCGGGCCCTGAATAGGAGTTAAAATCCAGTCGAGTCTACCCATTCGTACTGCAACCATGATACAGCTGCAACATAATTCCATTACATATAATACTCACAAGCAGGTAGAGCCTTCTTTGGTAGCTCGGGTGCAGTATAAGCGGGAAGCAGTAGAGATAGAACAGTGCTCGCAGCAAGTGAAGCTGCAAGTCGAGCAGCCGTTGCTTCGTCTGCACTGAGGGCACTCTCAGAGCTCAAATCCTCACTCGAAGACTGCACCAACCAAATCAGGACACATGACATCTGCAACAAGAGTTTTATATAAACAAGTGCATCTATCACAATTGATTCATCAATCTATTGATTACGTGTTTACAAGGATCAATCGTACACACTGTAGTGTTTGTTTTAGGACGACGATCTTATATACATAAATAATAATGACCTGAGAACCATTTGAATTTAATTTGTCTATAATATTTTAATTAGTCCGTTGATTCGTTGATGATGTTTTTTCTAGCAATAAGTTCATTTCGACTTAGCTGAATCGCGTTCTCAGCCGCGATAATGGGAACATATCTTATTTATTTTAATTTACATGTACACAACGATGTATTTTACATTAGGATAATTAATAGAATCAAGCGTTACTTTGAGGAAATCTATTAGTTAAAAATTAATTAGCTACGACCCGCATAATAAAATAAAATGATTTCATGCTGGCACACAGCATGTAACTTTACAAGACGCAGGTTCAACCTCCCATGGAATATTGTTCTCATCTCTGGGCCGTTACACCTCATTGCCAGCTCCTTCCACTTGACTGCATCCAGCAAAAGGGGCTCGATTCACTGGCGCTGCGAAGAGAACTAACTCCACCAAAGCACATCGTGACAAAACTGAAGACACCATCTGCACCATCTGGATGCTTGGTTGTCTACCACTGTGCGATTTACTAGGAGTTTTCTTCCTAGCCGCAACTTCTTTGTGGAATCATCCGTCAGGTTAACCGTATCCTCGTTTGCCCTCTCTTCTGTGTATAAATAAGTTTATAGTTTGTTAAACAATTTTAAGTGATTAGCGATACAACGTACTGGCGTTTTTTTTTAAATCGAAGATCTACTACGATATTTGTAACTTGTTTAGGTACTTTTATAATAAAAGACTGTTTTCTTTCGTAAACTTGATTTTGAATCACGAAAGCTAATAAGTTTTTTAAATAAAAACAAATGCTAGTGTTTTTCTTTGTTAATTCTAAAATCCTTGTTGTATTATAGTGCAAGAACTTATTTTCTTTTTTCCTCTGGTAAAAATATCCCAGACAGAAATTAATCAATCATGAAGTGGTAAGTAATTTTTGCCTGATCATAGAAATATTCTATTTATTATGTTTATGTAAGTATTTTATCCATGCCCAAATTCTTCAAAATATCTGATACAACTTTTTTTCGGTTATAACATCAAGAGTCGGTAGGTCAATACTTCCAGTTCGTAATGTTTTTTTTTTGACTAAGCGCCACTAACTTCGGAAATTGTAAGCAAAACGGGAACTTATTTACAGTAGGTAATGAAGAGTCCAAACAGCTTTTTAATTATGTAAGAATCATTCAGATAGGGTAAATAGTAAAATTTATATTTTTTTTTCAAAATTTTTAAACATTAATCAGGTCACCTGTAAAGTTGCCTATGTGTTGCTTGGTAAATTTTTGCCTTTCCACCGTCGATATCATTATAATAGCGACACATTCGTGTTAAGGGATTGTAAAATAAAGTATAGTTCTTAACATTTAATGTAAACACATCATTTTAGGTTTATATTTTTATTACATCTGATCTCGTGAATAATATAATTGAAAATGAGAATAATACAAAAAGTACACTTTCTGATATTTACCTTTATTAACGTCATAGACTCGAAGCTGTCGGTTGCAACTAATGGGGTAAGTGATGTGTTTAACGTGTTTACTAATATAGCCGCATCGTCTAGTCTGAAAAAATATACAATTTATCAAAATGTTGGTCCTTCGAGACTGATGCAGTTTAAGACGTTAATTAAATTATTTAAAAAATCTCGATAAACTCAATGCTCATATCATTAAGTAGTAACATGACTTGTGGAAAATTGGTCTTATAAATACATAGGAATATTATTTACTTTAAGGCCGGTTTTAGAGCTCGACCGACCGTCAGTGCGTACCATCGGTCCTGACGATACGCATAACCGATTATCAGTTTGTAGCGTTCAGAGCTCTTCTGAGCAACTAAACTGGCCGGACTGGTACAGTCACAAACAGGTTCACGAATTGAATGCTTTAATTGTTTAATTTCTGCTTACTATGTTCGTAAACGTATAAGGAACAGAAGACGTAGATATCAGGTTCACCCAATCGTCGCCCAAAGAGCACTTCAAGGGGAATTTACTACTTTATATTCGTTACTGCGCGAAGATGAAGAAAAGTTTTTGAGAATGTCAAAAGTTTTGATGAATTGTCAGTGAAATTACAAGACAACTTAACATCCGCGAGGCGTTCGGTGTCAACATATGCCATGTTTGATAAAAATTACTTAAATCACTAACACTAAAACAAACAACAAAACACAAAACAAAACAAAACATATAGCTGATGTGAAGAATCGACGCTCCGGGAAGTCTGCAGTCTGTGAACACGTACAGGATCGCCCCCGTCACTACATCAGATTTGATAGACCGCAGATCCTCGCTAAAGAACACCGATTCCTTCCAAGGATGATTCGCGAGGCTATTGAAATCAAAAAAACATCCTAATTTCAATAGAGAAGATGGCTGGGTGCTACCATCTGCTTGGGATCCTATAATAAATAAAATTAAATCCCAACCCAAGCATACAACTGCAAGACTTCAAGATACCATAAGTTCATACTGCATAGATCGGAACAAAAGTTAAATTTTAATCTATGGTAACTCGCGGTTAACTATGACATATGGACGTTGAACATCTCAGTCCTGCCCGTGACCATGAGTGCTGTAAAGTGTTCGAAACGTCGGGTATTTAAAAGTTAAATATACGCGATAAATTCCGTAAAAACTAGTATTATTTCAATGTGTAGTGTTCGCGTAAATATAAGAAATCATCACTAACACTACTTAATACTGAATCTGAATGAGATTCAGTATTAAGAATGAGAGAGAAAGATGATGTTGTGACCAGGATTAAGAAAGGAATGCTTCGGTGGTTTGGTCATGTGGAAAGAATGAATGAGGAAAGAGTGACAAAGAAAATTTATGTTGCAGAAGTGAATGGCAGAGTCGGAAAGGGACGTCCTAGGCGAAAATTTATCGACCAAATTGGCGATTTATTGGAAACGGGCCAAATTAGGAGTACCCTTAACCGATGAGCATGTATGCGTAGGTGTATGGATGTGAAGGAGGCGAGAGAGGTGTGTCAGGATCATGCCAAATGGAAGTCTGTAGTCTCTGCCTACCCCTCTGGGTGACAGGCGTGAGTGTTTATGTTATGTTATGTAATTGCATCACCGCCAAAAACTACACTAACAGCCTTCTTTCAACTTTGTCAAACCGACCCCTTTGCAAAAACGTTGTTATATTCTGAAGTCCCCCGCTATTATACTTGGAACACATCTAGGAAGGAATGGAAACGCCGTATTCAAGGCGCGCCTGTGGCAAATTGGTCCGGTATAAAGTCACCAGATGCCCTTGGTCGTGTGTATACCATCTATGTAACTAATTTATATATGTATGCGGTAGTGTATGGATGTGAAGGAGGCGAGAGAGGTGTGTCAGGATCATGCCAAATGGAAGTCTGTAGTCTCTGCCTACCCCTCTGGGTGACAGGCGTGAGTGTTTATGTTATGTTATGTATGTTACTTAATACCTATAAAATCATACAATATTATTAAAGTTTAGGTTTCATTTTCTTGACGATGATACACGCATCCGTACGGTCGGTGTAGCACTGAACGCGTCAATATGTTTCCATAGCGCGTCGGTCGACCGACGGTACGCATGCGGACGCGCTCGACCGACGGTCCTCGTACGCAGTGCGTAGCAATATACGCGTGCGTACGGTCGGTCGAGCACTGTAACGACTTGTGAATGTTCATACAAAAAGCAAGCGCGACCGACGTACGCACCGACGGTCGGTCGAGCTCTGAAACCGGCCTAAGTTAATTTTAATTTATTTTATTTTATACAATATTTATTTATACTCACTGTTCCACAGTGTGAATACTGTTGATAGCTCGGATGAGCTCAGTGACGTAGGAATGTGCGTCCAGTCGCTCAGGCTTAACAGGTGTTGGGTTGGAAACGGGTTTAGTCAACCCTGGTAAAACTGGCATCGGAGGGGCTTCCTTGACATCGCGGCTTTAATATGAAGATAGATTTAATTTAAAAGCAACTAAGGAAAACTAATATTACGAAGTTTAGCTTACTAGACATTTTTTTTAGAATTATAATATTTGAACCCCTAATATAGTCATAAGTCTAAATAAGTTCAAAAGCAGAGTGGACATACTGCTCACTAAGTTTTTTGATTACGACGATGCATTGACAAGAATGGAGTTTCGATTTCGAAAAAATACAACAAAAGCTATTAGAAACTTTTTACATAGATCCATTTTTAAATTTTGAATAAACTGTCAGTATTAGATAGGAATAGTGTACTACGATATTTTAGTGAAATATTACTTTGTCTGTAAGAGTTCCTATCATTAGTAAATGATGACTGTTTACTTCCATAATAAGCCATACATGCAGTAGCTGCAGCTATACATACATATTATAGTTGCAGCACGAATGGGTAGGCTCGACGTATGAAGGACCATACTCTCACAGAATTTTTTTAATAGAAGGGTGACAAACGAGCACACTGTCCACCTCATGGTAAGTGGCCCATAGACATCTACATTTATCCCCGATTACGAATCAAAATGCAAATGCTTTGTCACCCGCGACGAATAAGGTGGAATGCCTCCTTTCCAGTAAAAAGGGTCTTCGATTATCTACACTAACCAAACGAAACACAGCAGCGTAAAGCTGCTATTTTACGCTGGTATTCTGTGAGAGCGTGGTTCTTCCCCGGGCGAGCCAACCCATTCGCGCTACAACTATACTACTAATATAACTGCAGCATGACTCTACCAAGTCTAAAAGCTTAGTACTGCTGTGATATTTTAAGTGTAGAGACCCGGAAATCCTTTATATGGGTAATGAAGTATTTTATCTTAGTCCTCAGTGGTGACTATACAAGTATATTCAATTGTTAATCGAGGACCATCAGATGCATTGTAAGTGTGCTCTTTACCATGAAAATCTGTACCACGTGTTTTTAAGCAAATAAACCTATCTCTTTCCTTGTCACCCTTATTCTATTATATTTCATGCCGGCATACCGCCTGCAACTTTACAAGACGCAGGTTCGACCGCACATGAAATACCATATACAGTATCATACCACTGGCGTACCAGCTTCTTCCATTTGATCGCATCCAGCGCAGAGCCGATCGAATAGTCAGCGACCGAGCTCTTTCCGACTCACTGACACTGCGGCTTGACTCACTGACACTGCAATAGATGTTGTATCTCTTTGTGTATTTTATCACATTTACCATGGAGAGTGCTCTGAGGAATTGTCTGGACTAATTCCAGCCGCACAATTTCACCATCGCACATCGCGCCATAACTCACGATTTAAAAGAAAAGTTTACTTCCTCGCATAAGTTCCTTGTGGAATCGACTACCACCAAAAGATTTTTCTGGAACGATATACTTGGGGAGCTTCAAGAAAAGAGCATATTCCTTTTTAAAAGGCTGGCAACGCATCTGCAACTCCCCTGGTGTTGCAGCTGTTCATGGGCGGCGGTAGTCACTTACCATCAGGTTAGCTGCATGTTCGTTTGCCGCCTCTCATATAAAAAAACCTATGCAAAAAGCTCACCTGGCAGCAGCCAAAGTTCGAGCTAAATTAGCAGGCGCGGGCGGAAATGGCGCTCGAACCATTAGTGAGCGAACATGCCAATACAACGCAGCCAAGCGCCTTCCACGGCGCCAAGCCACAAGAGCCAGTTGGTTGTAGGGCTGGCCCGAGTGAGGTGATACAGCCAAAGCATGACGGTAGAAAGTGTGGGCGACACGAAGCTGTTGGCGGTAACGGGCCAAGTCTCCAAGATGAACCAGACAATGTTGGCTAGCGTATCGGGCTGCAGCGGGGGCTGCGGTTGCGCCAGGTCCCCACGCTTCCACGGAGCCCAAAAGTGAGGCTCGACGTCTGTATACAAAAAAAAATCTTTTGCACAATTTTTATCGATACGTTTTTATGGTTGAGGCGTCTGCCGCGCAGATCTAAAGCGAGAAGGTAGCCAGCACATGTCCTTGTTTTTTATTTTATTTCATAGACACACATGTTTTCTCCATCGCCAAGTACGAGGTAGTGATAGTTAAGTTTAAGACAAGTACTTCACAACTCATACTGCAATGTATTGTAATTTATAATACCTTTATCTTCTACTTTACAAGCCTTTAAAAGTCCAACACTGGGCATTGCATCTCCAATTGTATAGGGGATTTATCTTAATTACCACTCTTGGCAGGTGTATAGACGATCGCAGATTCAGAAGTCTCGTATTTTTGACGTTGCAACCTATCGCGGTCTGGGTGTTTTACCTATCGGTAGCCCCATGAGATTTTTCCGGCATGGCGATACCTTCGTCAATTGTGAACTGATTTTGATGATATATATGTGGTAGAGCCATGCTACAACTATATTGTGGTTGTAACAGGAATGGGTCGGCTCAGCAAGAATAACGCTGTCATAAAATACCAGCTTGTAAAATAGCAGCATAATGCTGCTGTGTTTCGTATGGTGAGTGTAGAGAACAGGAGACCCTTTTTACTGGAAACGAGGCATTCCATCTTAGACCTCAGGTGTGATAACACATGTGCATTTTAATTCTTAATCGAGGATAAATAGTCGATGTAGATGTCTATGGGCCACAACATCCACTTACCACCAGGTAAAATGTGTGCTCGTTTGTCCCTCTTATTCTATAATTTTTTTTTTAATTAAATAGGTTGTACTCTAAGTATTGTCCCATATTAATTTGGGGCAAAAATTCCACCCCAATAAATGACAAAACAAAGAATGATGTTTTAATGTAGCTATTTAGACGACAATAAGGTTGTGATATTCCTTAATCGATATCCTTTTTTAGTAATCATCATCATCATTACAGCCCGTCACTAATCCACTGCTGAACATAGGCCTCCGCCAAAGTATGCCACAAAGCACGGTCCTGAGCCACTTGCATCCATTGACTTCCTGTATGCCTTAGCAGGTCGTCACTCCATCTAGTGATGGGTTGCCCTACACTTCGTCTACCGGTACGAGGCTGCCACTCGAGAATTTTTTCTCCCCAACGGTTGTCGGTTCTTCGAACTATATGGCCGGCCCATTGCCACTTCTGATTACTAATCCGTTAGGCTATGTCGGTCACTGGTTCTACTGCGAATATCCTAATTTCGAAGTTTATCACGCAGAGAAACCTCGAGCATAGCTCTCTCCATAGCTCGCTGAGCGACTTTGAGCGTCCTCATACGGCCAGTTCCATTGGTAATCACTGGCAACACGCACTGGTTGTATAGTCTCATTTTCAGGTTTTGAGGTATAGCTGACGAGATGTGTCGTAATTTCCCGAACGCTGCCCAGCCGATTTGAATCAGTCGATTGACCTCTCGGTCGAAGTTGGAATTACCTAGTCGGCCTATTTGTCCCAGGTAAACGTACTCGTCAACAACTTCGAGCTTAGCGCTCCCAACAACTACCGGCATACGTGTGACATGGACGTTAAACATGATCTTTGTTTTGTCCATGTTCATCTTAAGACCTATCCGTTGGGAGACACTATTAAGGTCATTGAGCATAGTGTTTAGGTTCTCCAGCGATTCTGTCATAAGGACTATATCGTCGGCAAATCGAAGGTGAGTTGTGTACTCGCTATTGATGTTAATACCGTATCCTTTCCAGTCCAGTAGCTTGAAAACGTCTTCCAATGCAGCGGTGAAGAGTTTCGGAGATATAACGTCACCCTGTCTTACACCTCTCTGCAGTTGGATAGGTTTCGTACTCTGGTTCTGTTTTGGGATATCCATCGGCCTTACTGTACAAACACTTCAGCCCTTCGATATACCGACAGTCCACTTTGCACCGCTGAAGGGACTGTATCACCGCCTAAATTTCGACGGAATCAAAGGTTTTCTCATAGTCCACATACACAAGGCAAAGTGGCAGATTGTACTCTTTGAACTTCTGTAAAATTTGCCGAAGGGTATGCATGTGGTCTATGGTGCTAAATCCTTTTCGGAAACCGGCTTGTTCGGGAGGCTGAAAGTCGTCGATTTTGCGTGCGAGACGAATTGTAATGACTCTCAAAAACAGCACGTAGACACGACTCAGAAGGGATATCGGTCTTTAGTTCTTCAAGAGAGCGTTATCACCTCTCTTGAAGAACAAGACCACCGCACTTCTGCTCCATGCCTCGGGAGTAGTGCCACCATGGAGGACGGAATTAAAGAGCTTCCGAAGGACTTCAAGTACCGGTTTTCCACCCGCTTTCAGAAGATCCACTGTAATTCCATCCTCGCCCGGGGACTTTTAAGGCGTTTTTAAGGTGCTGGAGAGCCATTCTAATCTCGCTCAGACTGACGTCGGGGATATCATCGGAATAGTGTCAGATAAGGCTTGCTCTTGGATCACTACTCACACTTGCGAGTGGCTCTGACGATGACGTGTACAGCCGCTCATAGAACCTCTCAATCTCACTAAAAATCTCAGGTGTCCCGGAAACGATGCTGCCACACTCGGTCTCCAGCTTCGACAGTTGGCCCTTTTTGACAGACAGATCCCTGGAAAAGGCTTTGGAGCCTTGGTTCCGCTCAATCGCTTCTTCAATACGAGCTGTATTGAAGTTGCGTAAGTCTCGCCGCATGTATTTGGAGATCTGTCTGTTCAATTACCTGTATGCTGCCAAATCTGCTGAAGACTGCAGCTTCATTCCCCGTCTATCAGCCATGAGATTAAGAGTGTGATCGGAGTTCTTGTGTTCTTCTGCGGCGGGTCTTGCAGAACTTAGCTCCGACCGTATGGACAGTTTCCACGAGCTTGTCATTCATATCGTCCACTGTATTGCAGTCTTCTAGGCACTGAAAACGTTTTGTAATTCGAGCTGAAATTTTTCGGGACCCTGGATTAGCGCACGAGGACGTTGACGTTGACTTCATAAGGCAAGACCTCTCCAACTTAACATTTAGATTCAGTGTGCCTGCCATTCGGTGATCCCCTCTTTCTCCATGAAGTCAGTCAGCTGCTGGCCCCTTGTGTTCCGTTGCCTTATTCCAAATTTCCCTAACTTAGCTCACCGCTTTCTCTTGTGCCTAGTTTTGCGTTGAAGTCTCCCATCAACACCGTATAGTAGGTTTTGGAGGAATGTATGGCTCTAGAGATATCCTCATACATTTCCTCCACCTCCTCATCGGGATGTGCCGAGGTTGGTGCGTAAACCTGTATGACATTCAGCTAATACCGTAAGGTGATTTTGAGTATCAGGTACACGACCCTCGTCGACACACTATTAATCTTTACAACATTGTTGACGAGAGACTTGTGGACGATAAATCCGACACCTCTTTGGGACAAATGGCCCTCCCGGTGATAGAACAAGTTGCCGGATTCGAGGATTACCGTGTCCTCCCCCTCTCTTCGGACCTCGGATAATCCTATAATATGCCAGCGCAACGTGTTTACCTCTTCTTCCAGCTCGAGTATTTTCTCGTCAGTCTTCAGGGTGCGTGCGTTATATGTTGTCAGGTCGCGTCATCATAGGTGGCAACCGAACCTCCACCGGAGATTCTAGCATCCCCTGCCCCGCCGCTACCATAGTTGCCACCGTAGCCAGGAATAGCGGGGGCGCCGGGGATTGGGAGCCGTTTGTTTGTGTTGTTGCTCATGGGGGGATGTTTGCCATAGTTGCCACGCTTGGCGAGCGGGTTAGCAACCGCAGTTTTTTATTGTATAATTGTTGTTATCAGGAAGATGCTGCTGCCTATCTCCTGTCTGCCTCCCTCTATCCCTCTTACAAGACCCACGGGAAGATATAGGGTAGTGGATATTCTCAACCGCCACTTATTTAGTGAAAAGGTAACAAAATTCTACTTCTAGAAACTAAAATAAAATTCACATTCTAAAGTCAGGTTTCAATTCTTCTATGTACTATGTTTTCAGAATGTGATATTGTTTTATCTTTTTATTAACTTTAAAGTCAGCTTTTATTTTTGATTAAAAGTAACTTTTCTATTAGCATTAACAATTGTAGAGTCAATTTGATTTAGCCGACTAGTGCACAACAGATAAAAATTAATGATTACTGTTAATTTTTTTCTAGCCAGGATAGCAATATAAGTTAAGTTTACAACGCAACAGAATACACTAACACATACCATCTCGTGGCTGTAGTAAGAGACCACAGAGGGAATTTGAAACAAGGTAGGTAGCAGCATCTTCTTAATAACCATCGAAAGAAATAAAAACTTATCTTGCCAAACCGCGTGCCAAGAATGGCAATTATGGCTTCTCCTTTCCAATTATGGCTAATCCTTCCTATGAGGCAAACTATTGCAGATGCCTACATTCACCAGCAGACTTTTGATAGGCTGTAATTAATGAATAATACTAAAAGAAATTGCCTGAAGGGTAAATCCAGTTTAAATGTCGTGCAGATCTGATGAAGCAAACAAAGGTAGAACCCGGCCGCAGCCTGCAGAATCCATGATAACATAGCTTGACCTTCACTGCGGAGGGGGTTCTGAAAATCAACGATGTTATTATATATCAATAAACAAAAACATTTATGCAAATGTGTATAAAGCTCAAATGGAACAAAAAAACATTGTATTGAAACGGGTAACACAACTGCACTGCACAATTGTACTAACTTTAACGCATTTTTGGTGCAATGTAGCAACACCAAAGGCTAGGTTAAATGAAGTTTTTACATGGTAGAGCCACATTGCAGCTGTATTATGGTTGTGGCATGAATGAGTTGGCTCGACCCGGAACGACCATGCTCTCACAGAATACCAGCATGAAATTGCAGCTAAATGGTGAGTGTAGTGAACCAGACACCCTTTTTATTGGAAACGAAGGATTCCTTAGTTCTCAAGAGCAATCACTCACGAATCACTTCAAGAAGAAGATTTTCAAAAAGCACATTTATATAGTGCCTTGTCATTAGCATAGGCAACGATAGCGACAGTGACTATGACTTGAACGAAGATTTCTTTTTTATAGAATAGGATGACAAATGAGCACACAGCCCACCTGATGGTAAGTGGTTGCTGTGGCCCATAGACATCTACATCTATCCTCGATTACGAATCAAAATGCAGATGTGTTGTCATCCGTGAGGACTTAGGTGGAATGCCTCGTTTCCAGTAAAAAGGGTCTCCGTTTCTCTACAGTCACCACACGAAACACAGCAGCATTAAGCTACTATATGACGCTGGTATTCTGTGAGAGCGTGGTTCTCCCCGGTCGAGCTGACCCATTCGTACTACAACTATACTATTAATATAACTGCAGCATGGCTCTACCACATATAAAGATTTATTATTGTACACCTATTTTAAATTTTTTTTTGTATCCTTTATTTACAACAATCTGTCACCTTTGAGGGACATTCAACAGTATGTTTGTTGGTGCTATCGCTGGCGTGCTCGGTATGTGACCTGTGTCACATCCTCATTCTTAAACAGTAAATGCATTTACTGTGTTTGTATTAAATCTTGAGATATCTTGCGCTTTAAGCGTCGCGCTTTGTTGTGGTTTGCCATGAGTGGCCGGGCCAGAATATTTGGATGACGTTCGATGCGCTCTTTATAAGTTCTAGAATGGCGTAGGATTTCCAGTTTCACAGTAGTAATTCGTTGGGCACGTACCAGGGGGCATTGGTTATCATGTGGAGTGCTTTATTTTGAAACCTTTGTAAGATTTCGATGTTTGAATGGGATGCAGTACCCCACAGTTGGATTCCATACGTCCAGATAGGTTTCAGTATTGCCTTGTACAGAAGTATTTTGTTTTCTAGAGAAATTGAGACTTTCGCCCTATGAGCCAGTAGAGTTTTCGCGTTTGAATACCGAGTTGCTTTCTCTTAGTGAAAATATGTTTTTGCCAGGTAAGTATTTTGTCGAAGTACAATCCAAGGTATCTCACATGATCTGTCTGTGGAAGTACAATGTTGTTAAGTGTGACTGGGGGCAAGAGCCCCTTCTTAGGGTGAACGTTACGTTGACTGATTTTGTTTCATTTGCTTTTATGCGCCACTTTTTGAGCCTGTGGGATATGTCATTTAGCCCTTTTTGAAGTATTTGTGAGGCTATTTTTGGGTCGCTATGCAGAGTGATTAAGGATTCAGATGTCGGCAGGTCCGCAGTGAAAAGTAAGTAGAGTATGGGACCCAGTATGCTGCCCTGCGGGACTCCGGCTTTTATAGGCCAAAGATCTGACAGAGCTTCCCCTTGTTGTACTATGAAATGGCGCTGCTGGAGAAATGATTTTAATATCCCGTAAAGGTGATCTGGTAGTACATTTTTCAATTTAAATAACAATCCCTCATTCCACACGCGGTCAAACGCTTGAGATATGTCCAGGAATGCACTGGCGCAGTAAGATTTATCTTCCAATGACTCCATGATGTATTTTGTTAGCCTGTGCACTAGATCGATAGTGGCATTCTTACTGCGGAATTCAAACTGGTGGTCAGGGATTAGCTCCTCTCTTTGAGTATAGACAAGATTCGTTGTAGCAGTAGGGATTCATATATTTTGGATGGGATGGGTAGCAGACTTATGGGCCAGTACGATTTTGTTTCTCTGGCTTTAGCAGCATTACAGTTTGTGCGACCTTCCACTCCAGGGGAAAAAAAACTGCAGTCTGGTCATGGCATTAAATAGTGAAGTAAGGAAAGTTATGCCAGATTCAGGTAGTTCTTGTAATATTCGGTTTATAATGAAATCGTATCCTCGAGCCTTTTTTGGGTTTGATTTTCTAATTATTCGCGCAACTTCCGTTTTTGTAAATTTAGGAGGCATTTCCTGCGTATCTTTTGGGTTATTCGAGTGGTTAGTAATTTCTGCTGCATCTTCTGGTGAGCCGTCATATGGGTGAGGGGTAAAGACGTTGGAGAGGTGTTCTGAGAAGGTTATGGCTTTCTCCTGGTCTGTTCGCGCCCAGGTATCATCTGGTTTTCTTATAGGAGGAGAGACGTTGACAGGCAGTTTTAGTCTTCTGGTGGCTTTTCATTAGAGTAGTCCGAGGAAGCAGTAGTATCCAGGCCGGTGAGGTAATTATGAAATCCGTCATCTCATCACGATCTTTCTCAGGATGTGTTTTAGCTGTCTGTTAGCGTGATTGAGTTGTTTTTTCACCACAGGGTCTCTGGTTGTTTGCCAGCGTTTCCGTATCCTCCTTTTATTGATTATTTAACGAATATGTGTTTCGGTACGTGGGTATCCAGGTTTATAGATGGTAGTGGTGGGGTCGATGACCAAGCTGCATCTTGCACACTCTTGTTGAAGTATAACACCGCTTCCGTTATTTCGTCTTTCGATTTTAGGCTGACCGATTCTTGGAATGCTTTGTCTGTGAGCTCATGAAATAGAGACCAGTTAGTTCCATTGTCATGCAGAACACATTTTCTGGCGCCTTCTTGGGGGGTGGTATGTAGTTCTACTATGATTGAAGAGTGGTCTGAAGATAAGTCCCAGCAACTCTGGCACGATATGATGTTCTTAGCGATTCCTTTGCTGACACAAAAATCTATAACATCTGGGATTTTTCTTTTGTCTGTTGGCCAGTAAGTCGGTTGACCCGACGATACCACTTTCATATTTCTTTTTTGTATGCATTTAAGGAGTTCTCGCCCTCTGGGTAGAACAAGCCTGGAACCCCAAAACGAATGCTTGGCATTATAATCACCTCCTGCGATAAACCACCCTCCAAGTGATTGAAAGAAGTTACTGAACTCCAATTCCTTGATAATGAATCTAGGTGGACAATAGAGGGCCGATATTGTAATGTCACTAATCCGGTCTGTTACCACGACATTTGTTGCCTGGATGTAGTTTTTGCAGTAATGTTGTAGTACATGATGCCTGATGTTTGACCTGATAAAAACGGTCGATCCTCCATGTGCTTTGTTATCTGAGTGGTCAGTATGGTACATGTTGTATCCTGGTAGGCTAAAGTGGCTTTTGGATGTGAAGTGGGTTTCTGAAACTAGTAAAACATCTATGCGGTGCATTTTAACGAATATTTTTAACTCTTCCGAGTGGTTCGACAAGCTATTAGCATTCCATACACACAATTTTAGTGCTGTGAATGTGATGGCATTTTTGAAATTAAATCGTTAGCGTTTCGGTCATGATTAACATTTGATTCATCAAGGCAACAAGTGTCTCCTTAATAAATTGGAGCACACTCGTGTTTTGGTTTCCATACTTAGTGTTCGTTGTTTGTGTTGTAGGTTGTCCAGGGACTTCTTGTGTGGCTTGGGCATACGATTTTCCGTTATTTGTTGATTTGTCTGTAGGTTCTTATTCCTTTCTAGTGTATCCAGGGTTTTTCCTAACTTTGGTAATTGGAGGATCGGACTTTCAACAGTTCTTTGTAGACTGTGCAACCTTTGTAGTTAGCTGGATGGTTTCCCTCGCAGAGGATACATTTAACCTCTTTTGATCTGTCATTCCGTAAGCAAGCTGAAGTGTGGTGCGAACCTGCACATTTGACGCATCTGGGCTTTCTATTGCAGAACTTTTGTGTGTGGTTGTAATCTTGGCAATTAGTGCATTGGGGATTACTCGCCTTGGTCTAGGTGCTTCAAATGATATGCGACAGTGTAGTAGATATTTGACGTTATATATGTCTTTATTATTTTAGTAACGGTCCAGTTCGATGTTCCACATTGATAGCGCCTGTTTTGTTCTCGAGCTTTGGATGTTCCAGACATTTACTACTTTGTGGTGAAGCTCCTCAATAGCTATTTTTATATCCTCTTTGTCTGTAGATGGGTGTAGATTTTTTAGCAAAACTCTAAAACTGCAGTCTTGTTTTGGTTGGTAACTATAAAATTCGGTATCTTTAGCCTTTAGTTCTTTATAAATGGTGGAATTTTAAATTTTTATTCACTTTTTTAAACTAAGTATGTATTTTTGACCAATAATAAATGTAATTATTGAAGTTTTCTTTTTTTTGGATTCTTTACTTTTCTTTTGGATTAATATACACATCGACAAAACTGTAGTGCGTCACTATGCCTGCCGTGATACCCATAAGTGCGACAGAAAGCGCAACAGGCGGCGTCCTGTTTCCACACTTTATTGTACTATATTTTATATAATATAACTATAATAACTATATATATAATGTAACTATATATATATATATATATATATATATATATATATATATATATATATATATATATATATAGTTACTAGCTTGCCAGGCAGAAATAATGTAAAAATCCTTAAATTCGCAAAAAAAAAATTGTGGGTCACTCATGGGCAAAAAATTAATGTGTCTACTTTAACCTTACTTTATGATAAGTTTAAATAGTTGTTTCAAAAATAGTACAAAAATACTTTTTTTAAACATATTATTTTTAAAACATATTGTAGGGGAGAGTAACTCCCCTGCAATAGGATTTTTTACACACATTTGAATTCTTTCCCTGATGAAAAATAGAGGTGTCATATGTTTAATGTGTGTATCTGTGTTTTTCTGTGGCATTGTAGCTCTCAAATGGATAAACCGATTTAGATTTAGGTTTTTTGTTTGAAAAGTGACTTGATTGAACACTCAATGGCTAGGACTCGAGAAAATCTTGCTCTCTTTTGTTTCGGGGTTTTTTATAATTTTTAATATAAGTTATGAAATATTTCAACTGAACTTTCTATAACCGAAATAAATTGTTCCAGCTGGAGATCTGAACAACAGAATAAATTTAAAATCTTTATAACTGAGAAAAATATACTGATTATGTTAGTCCAGTAAACCAAGTTTTCCTATGTTGAATTAAAATAAATTATATTTTAATGTGCAATTTTATTTTCTTCTTCTTCCTTTAAGGCAGTTACAATGAATTTGCCAATGACTTGTTACATGCGAAAAGGTTTATTTGAGACAAAAACTCTGCATAAAAAATGTAAATTGATAATACAAGAGTGTAACAACAATATTATGTGATTAATTTTGGCCAACTTATCTGTTGAATGAACCTAAAACAAAAGACAATACCAGCGTAAAATAGCAGCTTAATACTGTTGTGTTTCGTATGGTGAATGTAGAGAACCGGAGACCATTTTTACTGGAAACGAGGCATTCCATCTTAGTCCTCATGGGTGACAACACATCTGCATTTTGATTCGTAATCGAGAATAGATGTAGATGTCTATGGGCCACAGCAACCACTTACCATCAGGTGGACTGTGTGCTTGTTTGTCATTTGGATTGGCATTGGATTCGAATCGAAATTGGATGAATCGATTCACAAAAAATCGAAATCTTAAAGATCAATATTCGCAAAAATCTATCTTTTTTTTATTAGCGTTAAAAGTTTATATTTACAATATCAAAAGATACAATAAAATACGGATAAAATTGAATGATTGAATTGAAAAACTGTCATTCTTTACGAGTTGGAGTACTTTCAACTAATTATAAATAATTATATAAATCTTAATAAAACAGAAAAGATTCAATCTCGATTCTCTAGGGTGAAATATCAATTCAGTACTATATATCATTATGACATTGATAGATGATTCGTCAAAAATGTAAGAATATTTAACCCCTGATGTCCTGAGGACATCGATTGATGTCCACGTTTTGTGACCGCTGAGTACCGCGGACATGAATTCATGTCCGCATTACGTGCTGCTATTTTCGTCATTAATTGATATAAAAATACAGTATATTTTCGATTGAACACTATTTCATTCGATTCTGAACGAACTAAAGAGTATTCTGAAGAATTATATTCACTCGGTTACATAGACAAAATCAAATATAACAGAAATTCGATTTTGCTCTGTTAGTGCGGTTAGTTGCCTAATCGTTGAAGTTTTGTGATTTTGATTTTAGTTGGATTTTCTTTCAAAAAAACTGTAAGAAATGTTATTTATCTTTACTACGTAATGTTTTTGAATGATTTAAGTTACAACAACAGTAACTTTTTATGTTTCAATTGATAAATAATGTACTGTAAATGAGATGTATCTTAATTATATTATTGTAATTGTATAATTTGTAATTTTAACTACATTATTGTATCTATATAATTGTAATTGTAATTTTGACGTACCAATGTTACGTAATGTAATGTAATGGCAAATAAATAAATAAAAATAAATAAAAAAGTAGAAACAAAAAACCTCTCGCGAATAATTCATAACGGTCAAGATGTGTAATAAGATTCTAATAAGATAATAATAGTATATTTCTTATTGGAATACCATAGTAAATACTTTTACTAGGAATTGCTAAATGTTATATCTATATGATTGTATAAGAAAAATAAAGGAAGATGCTATAAAATATATACACAAAAAGGTTTTGAAAATGAGTTTACAAAGCGCACGCAAACTGACTATTGTCGAATTTTTAGCAAATGTTTGCAAGTGAAAAAGTAGAATTATTATAATTATTACATGCATAATTTCGGTTCATTTAGGAAGAATATGATGTATTGATTTTAAGGACATAAAAATAAAATAAAAACTTATGATATTTCATTCATAAAATAAAATTTATTGTCAGTAAGTACACTTTATCAAGATCCCTTAGAAACAAAGAGCTGTACAAAATAAAATAAACATTTAAATGTTATGGTTATTGTTTCTACTTATCGAAAATCTTATCGGCTTCAAATAACTGTAACTAAAACCACTTTAAACTTAAAGGAAAGGTCGTGAGAAACATACTGGTACAAAGCTGTTTTTTGTTATGGCAGGCGTGGTTCGGGAAAGGTTAATCAATTAGTCATTTACCAATATTTTTAAAAAATAATTAAAAATACTTTAACGCTGCTCCGGCAGCAAAAATCGTAATTGTAGGGGTGCTTCAGATAAACCCCTTGACCCCTCCCCCCACAGTGACAGAATCTTCAAAAATCAGGCAACCGAATTGTAAACCCAACCCATTTAAACATTCTACTGCATTCTGTTATTTCCTCCAAGGGGAGCTGACAGAATGGAACACAAATGTTTGAGAAGAGAGCTTGTACTTCTTTACACTTACCTTCCTATCTTTTGAAATAATTTGTAATGCTTCAATTTGTTGTTTAAAGCCAACATTCCAAAGATCTTGTTCAACTTTTTTTTCCAATGCATAATCAAGATCAACCATAAGTATTTTCTGATAAACCTAAAAAAATTAGAATATGTTTTAAACAAAATAAGCAATAGTTTAACTTTAGAGAATTGTTGTATAAAAATCAATGACAAACATTTTGCAACTGCTGTTGGGTGGTCCATAGGCTACGGTCTTGAAGCATTGATGTTCCACTACTAAACTTTAAAATTTTCTGTTTCAATTCATCTGCCTCCCTGTAATAAAGGTTTATTATTTGTAAAATCAAAAATTCTCAGTTAATGAACAAATAATAAAATAGTTTACAGGGAGCAACTTTTTGAATTATACAAAATCACTGTAAAAATGTAGTTATCGGTTTGATGGAGATGATGTAAAATGCATTTAAATACGTATATTTTCTTACGAACCTTAACATTTGTACAGCGGCATTTAAAACCATTTTGATAGAGGCTTAAAGCCTCAATATTTGTCATAGCATTAGGAAAAGATTCGAAGTAATAAAATCTAACTATTGGAAGAAAAATCCTAAAAACAATCGAAATCCATGCACAGCAAATAAATTTACGTCAATTACGTCATGTTGACATAGGCACAGACTACTAAGAGGATACTACGCGTAGACAGTAGGTTTCTATTCTATAGATCTACGATACTACGCATAGTACAAGAAGAGAAGCCACATAAAAAGTACACTGTGGTCACTGCTAAGTGTATTTTTCTGACTATACCTATTTATTATATAATATTTTTCACTCTGTATTATAGTAATTTATTTAGGTACTACTGGGTACTACCAATGGCACTTCCCGGTACTATCAACATACGTTGATAGTACCGGGGAAGTGCCTGCCATTTGTTAATATTTTCATGACTTAGTTAAATTGAGGATTTTGATCAATCCGGTTCGTATAATACATAAATAAATCAATGAACGTTAAATGACCCTTCATTTGACATGTTATAAAAAAAACCGTAGTCGAATAATTCGGAATTTATTAAAACTAAAAAGTTAAAAATATCGTTTAAAAAATTTATGTGAAATCTATTTAAATTAAGTTGGTATGTTTCTGCCAAATTATACCTAACATTATTAAGAGTTTTTTTTTTAAAACGTAGTAGAATAATGCGGAATTTTTTAATATCATCATAAGTTAAAAGATAAAATATAACATTTTAAAAAAACTGCGGTCGCGAACCCGCTCGTCAAGCGTAGCAACTCTGGCGAACACCCCCCATTAGCAATGACATAAAACCACGCCCCCTAGCAGGGCCCACGCTACCATATGTGCAAAGTTTGCAATGCACACGGTCGCCATCCTTTAGGGGCGCTAAAACCCAGGGTCAAAAATTGTAAAAATTTTCCAAAAAAAAAATTATTTTAAAATAAAAGTTGAGAAATTAAATAGGATTAGGTATAAATACACACGCAATTTCATTAGTATATCATCAAGTTGAGATGAAATGTTCTGTTTATAAGATAATATTTCTTGTTCAGTTTTCAGTGATGAATAGCGATTGCTTTTAAACGCTGTGCGTTTTTTCCTCTGCTTTGTGATAGACAAGAAGTCACACAAGAAATAAAAAGGCTAAAGCTAGAAAAGAGCCCAGGACCAGACGGCATTACAAATGAACCTATAAAGGCTGCTTGTCCACTACTGACTCTCCCATTAACACACATATTTAACCTTATATTAAAAATAGCTGAAATAGGGGTAGAGTCAGAAATAATTTTAATTTATCAAAAAGGTGACTCAAAAGATATCACAAACTACAGGCCTAAGTATAAGATTATTTCCGTGTATCTACAAACGGTTTTCCTCTTTATTTAACAAAAGAATAAGTGTCACAATAGAAGCAAACCAACCAATAGAACAAGCAGGTTTTCGCAAGAGCTTTTCAACAATCGACCATATACATACTCTAGAACAAATAACCCCTAGAACAAATACCACGAGAAGCAAAGAACGCTCTACATCGCATATATCGATTATAAAAAAGCTTTTGATACCGTGTCACATTCAAGCATATGGACCGCCCTGCAAGCCCAAAAAGTTTAACAAGAGTATATAGATATAATCAGAAACTTTTACAAAGGTAGCACAGCAAAAATAAAACTAGAATCCACTGGTCCTACGTTCTCCATCGGAAGAGGTGTGAAACAAGGCGACCCGCTGTCTTCTAAATTATTTATATCTATCCTAGAGTCAATAATAAAAAGATTCAACTGGGAAAAGACGGGATTAAACAACAATGGCAAGTATTTATTCCACCTACGCTTCGCAGATGACTTAGCTCTGCTATCAGAATCTAGCACACAATTACAAAACATGATCGATTCACTTAACACAGCTAGAAAGCAGGTAGGACTAGAAATGAATCTTTCTAAAACAATGGTCATAACAAATAGTATACAGAGAAGAATATCAGTGGACAATGAAACTGAAATATACAGAGAAATATATATACCTTGGTAAACAAATTAGCTTCAACAGAAAACAAAATGAACTAGAAGTAGAACGAAGAGTACAAAATACTTGGAACAAGTACTGATCCTTAAAAGAGATATTCAAAAGTAACATGTCAACAAATATCAAAACAAAAGTCATGATGTCATGCGTCCTATGTTGTCTAACTTCCACATGTCAAAACTTGGAAATTTACATCCAAATTAAAAAAAACCACGAAAAACGAAGTATCCTCAACATTAAAAAGATGCAAAAAATTCGTCACACAAAAATTAGAGAAACCACCAAAGCGACGGATGCTCTAACCTACGCTAAAAAACTAAAATGGAAGTGGGCTGGACACGTAGCGAGGCTAAAGGACGAGAGATGGACCACCAGGGTAACAACGTGGAAGGGTCCAATCGGCAAACGTCTCGAGATGGGCAAACGAATTGATAAAATAGCTGGTACCTGCTGGCCGCAAATAACTCAAGATACATGGAATTCTTCAGAGGAGGCCTTCACCTTCACGTGAGGAGGGGTTCATGCAAACAAACTTATGTATTATTATCCAGATTTAAACTTTTTTTCTATTCACTTCTTTTTTTCCCTCTAAACTATGTATGTATGTCATTCTTAGCATGAAATAAAAGGCTTATTATTATATTATTATTTTGGGTTATTGATAGAGTAATCACATCTGGTTGGGCTGGATAAATATATAAAGGAAAAAAAAATAAATATACTTAAATATATATTTAATATACTAACATAAATAAATAAATAATACATAAATAAATAAAAGCCCAACCAGATGGATGCCCTCGGCAGGGGAGACCAAACGGCCGAGGGTTAGGGGGAAAGAGAAAGAAACCGGCGGACGATGCAGGCGGTGTTGAGGAGCACCGCCTTCTGCATTTGAGCTCGGAGTGGTCCGTCACGGAGTCTCAGCCGCCTCAGATGGCCCGAGAGGCTGGCTGGGATTAACCCGTTTGCAGACACGACTACAGGAATAATTTCGGTCGGCAGACCACCCAACATGTCGGTCACCTCGTGAGCCAGGTCCAGATATTTTGATTGCTTATCTGTTTAGGCATATTATTATTATTATTGTTTAGGGGTATCTATATAGTTTTCTCATCTGGTTGGGTGCTATAAATATATAATTATAAATGAAAATGAAAAGACAAATATACATAAATATCAATAACATAAAATAAATATAAAAGTACATAAATAAATAAAAGCCCAACCAGATGGAGGCCCTCGGCAGGGGAGACCAAACGGCCGAGGGTTAGGGGGAAAGGGAAAGAAACCGGCGGACGATGCGGGCGGTATCGAGGAGCACCGCCTTCTGCATTTGAACCTGGAGCGGTCCGCCACGTAGTCCCAGCCGCCTCAGATGACCCAAGAGGCTGACTGGGATTAGCCCGTTTGCAGAGACGACTACAGGAATTATTTCGGTCGGCAGACCACCCCACATGTCGGTTACCTCGTGAGCCAGGTCCAGATATTTTCTTTGCTTGTCTGTTTCGGCTTTCACGAGGTTCTCGTCATACGGAATGGTAATGTCGACCAAAAATATCCTTGACTGTGCCCGGTCCATCAGCACAATATCAGGCTTATTCGCAAGAATAGTCCTGTCTGTGATGATGGCCCGGTCCCAATAGAGCCTGGCGCGATCATTTTCGAGCACGGCTTCCGGCAAGTACTTGTAATACGGCAATTTCCGATCCACGAGACCGTATTTCAGAGCGAGCTCCTGGTGTAGAATTCTGGCTACTAGGTTGTGCCTGTGCAAGTACTCAGAGTTAGAAAGCGCCGAACAACCGGAGATAACATGCCTAAGTGACTCACCGGGATGGCGACAAGCTCGACAGATGTCGACGGTGCCATCCTTTAGGATGTATCTCCGATAGTTGTTGGTCTTAATAACCTGATCCTGTATTGCACAGACAAAACCCTCGGTTTCCCCCGAAGAGATCACCAAAGCGTAGCCAGTGGAGGGAGGCTACTGTGTCTACGAAAGGCTCATGTAGAGCCTTGTAGAACCTCCCGTGGAGCTCCTTCTCCTTCCATACGGTCTCCCGGTCGGAAATGCTCTGCACTGCCGGGTCTTGCCATTGCTCGTTGGCTAAGGATAGAGGGGTAAGTCCTTTATCACAAGAAATGACGTCCTTATAGAATGGATCATCCGATCTCGCCAGGAAGTAATCACGGAGGCTGCACACTTCGCGATTATGCATGGTGAGCGCGCTCAAGAAGCCACGACCACCATGCTTCCGCGGCAAGTACAGCCTCATTACCGACGATCTCGGATGATGCATCCTATGGGACGTCATTGTAGTGCGGACTTTTCTATCCAGGGCGTTAAGTTCAGTCTGAGTCCACCTGAGTATGCCAAAGGTATACATGAGGACAGGCATGACCCAGCCGTTATATGCGTGTGCCTTATTCACACCGGACAAAAGGCTGTTAAGCACTTTGGTCAAGCGTGCATAAAACACGTCGCAAACTGACTGTTTCATACCAGTCTCATCGATACCGATGTTTTGTGACATACCCAGGTATCGGTATGTTTCAGCCTCGGAAAGGGTCCTTAAGTTGACGGGCATAGATAAGTCTACGCCCTCAGAGTTAGCAACCCTTCCCCTTTCAACATGGAGGACCGCACACTTATCCGTCCCCAGCTCCATTCCAATGGAATTGCTAAATTCACAAGTGATGTTTAGCAATTCCATAAGATGGGAGCGACTGGAGGCGAATAACTTGAGGTCATCCATATAGAAAAGGTGGGTCACTTTTGTCCCTCCTTTCCGTAGCTGAAATCCCCTCCCGGAGCCCTCCAGTAAGGTACTGAGAGGGTTCAGAGAGAGGCAGAACCAGATTGGACTCAGACAATCGCCCTGGAAGATACCCCTTCTTATCCTTATGTGGTTCTCCGCAGCCATCATCCGCTCGCCTAGATGACAAAGGATCGTACTCCACTGCCCCATACACTGCTCGAGGAAGTCTCTAACTGTACAGTCTATCTTGTACAGCTCGAGGACTCTCTTTAGCCATGTATGGGGCACCGAGTCGAATGCCTTTCTGTAGTCTATCCAGGCGGCGGAGAAGTTCCGACGGTTGCGTTTCACCACTTTGCCAATGACCGCGTCAATGAGGAGTGGTTCCTTGGTTCCACGACCACCGCCCCGACATCCATTTTGAGCGCGCGACATCACCTGATTTGAGTCCAGGTGACAAGTGATTCTCGCGCTCAAAATGGATGTTAGTGTCTTGTATATGGTCGGTAGACACGTGATGGGGCGGTATTTGCTCGGGTCTGTGGTACCCTGGTCTTTAGGAACTAAATGAGTGATCCCAGTAGTGAAGAGGCTTGGGAGCGACTTCTGGTTGAGAGCCTCTTGAAACTGTCGGGCGAGCACAGAGTGACACACCATGAACCCCTTCAGCCAGTAGTGATGCAGCCCGTCAAGCCCCGGACTTTTCCAGTTCGGGGCCCTACGAACCGCCTCAGCTACGTCATCCGGCGTTATGATGACGGGGTCCATGGGCGTAATACCCGCACACTGACTCGCCACAACTTCCGTCCAAGGGCCCTCGCTGTGGTTTACGGGCTCTGACCACAGGCCGCGCCAGAATGCTACAGTGTCGGCCTGATTCGGTGCTGGACCCGTTCCACTTACCATTGGTCGCTCCAATGATTCATAGAGCCTCTTCTGATCACTCTGGAAGAGACGATTCTGGTTGAACCGTGTCGACCTCTCGGTATATCGCCGAATCCGCTTTCCCCAAGCAGCGATTCTCTGCTTCAGATCATCTATGCGCTCCGTCAGTTTTTGCGTTATATCCGGCTGGGACAAACTGACATTTGTCCCAGCAAACGCCATCCTGACGGTGCGCACAATTCTTGGCCTGTTGTTGCCTGATCTGAAGCATATCAGTCTGCCGATGAGAGCTCTAGCCTTTGCGATACGTTCCTCAATTCTTCTTCTCCATGCTGGGATAGCGCTACTATGGCCAGTAGCGCGTCCAGCCGTGGAAACCTTGGCGCCTATGATACGGCAGACTGCCAGCGCGGCGCCAAAAAGAATTGAGTCCGTCTCGCAAAGGTCCCGGCTGGCTTCCAAATAGGTAACCAGCATTGGGTTCAGAGCCCTCACGACAGCCCGATTCCGCTTGCTTAGGGCTATGCGGGGAAGTCGCGGTCGATTTTCGAGAGGCGTACTGCGCGTTTCCACAATCGCCTCTTCCAATATACTCCTCATATGCTCTAATTCCAGTTCCTGGGCGACTGTTCCATCATCGTTTGAATCAACCACAACTGGGGTATTCACGGCGGCATCCACGTTTGCGGGTTGCTCTACCATTTGTGGCGCCGCATCCTCAGCCGTAGCATTCTCATCCGACGAGGGAACAGCCTCACGTCGTAGCCGTTCGAGTTCGGGGACATCAAATATATTTGAGCGCAAGATATACCGAACTCGGTCTGCCAGGTTTTGCTCTGTGACGATTAAAGATGGCTCCAGCTCAGCAAAAAGACGATGCATCCTAGCCCGATACGCCAAACATCCAGTTTCTTCCCCTTTTGCCCTAAAGTACGCCCGCAGTGCGTTTGCATTCATTTCTTGTGACCAACGCATGCGACGTGCTCCACCAGCGGCGGGTGCCGCTTGCTGAGTCCGAGAAGACCCAGCCGACATCAAGCCTTCTGGTGGGGATGATGGATGCGGAGGGCTGGTAGATGACCGTGCAGCTCCTCGCGCTCGGCTGGCGGCCCGCATGCTGCCGCGTCCAGCGCCAGCTCCAGACGCGCCCCGGCGACCCCCCAGGCAGCGGCCCTTTGCGCACTATCTTTTTATCCATCATCCATTATTTGGGCGTCCATTAACGGGAGACGCCCAGGCCCGGCACCGTTTCGTGTGTAGCCATAAGCACAAACGGGCCTCTGCACCCTAAATTCTGCCGCGGCACGGCGCTCACACCTCTCGCAAGGCGCTGACTGACTGCGTTGACGTAGCAGTTTTGTCACTTAACTGCTACGTCAGCGGGCGATGGGGTCGTCAATTCCCTACGCCTTTTTATTTATTATTATTATCATTTATTCGCATTATTATTATTATTATTATCATTTATCATCCAGTTACTGCCGATTCCTATGTTGCGAGAACATGTCAGGCGGTAGTTTCTTGATTTTTCCTGTTTAGACATGAACAATGCCCCCAGCGCTATAAAAGCGATGCATCGCCAGAGGCGTTTTTAAACCGGTTAGTTCACTGGACCGTGAATAAAAACAATAATCCTATTAATTTTTACATTTAAAATTATTTTTATTTGGTCAAGTGTTGTGTTATATAATATTTTGTTTATTACTTTTAAAAAAAATTAAGTGCTGAATATTACTAACTGCAATTTCAACGGTTTGATTTTTTTATAAAATGGTAAGTGTTCCCTACTTTACTTTATACTATCTCGGGGCACGGCATTGCCCGCACCAAGTCGAGCAAAAAAGCAGCACGGGCGTACCATACATTTCTCGAAGCAGTTTAGGCCATTTTCGACCCCCCTGTAACTTCGTTGTGAATAAAACTAGGAACCTGAATTTTCAGAGAACAAGCAGGCATTGTATAAACATGGTATATTTCAGTAATTTGAACTAGTAGTTTAACCCTTCAAGTGCCATAAAAATCCCATGCAGTCGCATGTGCCCGGCAAATTCCGAGCGGTCGCATGCGACCACAGCACTTAAAACCATTAAAACTTATATTTAGAGACTACTTTTCTATGGAGAAGGTTAGCATTATAAAATCTATACAAAATTTTCTAGCTGGTGGTAATAAAGTCAGATTTTAATTCATTACAAATTTTTTTTATTGTATTTTGATAGCAAAAAAAAAACATACCAAGCGAATGTCGGCCGCGTGAAAATCACAATTATTTCAATATATATTATTCGAAATTATTTACGTAAAAAGCAAATTATATTCACACAAAAACTTTCGTTACAATTTTATAATAAAACAATATACTAAAACACTAGAAAAATCCAAAATTCAACACAATAACATTCACGCGAAAATGGCGTACGAAATAAACGTAGATTATAAATAAATATTCACAGGATAACAGTTTTTTTATTGCACTAGAGGATAGAGTATTTCATATTGATTATATAATGCCAAACTTCTTCATAGAAAAGTAGTCTCTATATACAAGTGTTTATAGGTTAAAGTGCTGTGGGTGGATGCGACCTCATGAGACCGCTAGGGATTTGACGAAATGTGGCCGGGGTCTCATGGATCCGCTAGGGGGTTGAGAGGTTAATAATTATAACTAGTCAAAGTTTCTAAATTTAAAAAATCACTCACTGACTGATCGATCATCAAAACTCTAAGGCACTTCTAGCAGACATAGAAGCTTCAAATTTAGAATACAATTAGTGTTTAGTACATATATTGTTGCGCGCCTAAGTTGACGTCAGGTACCTGGCACTAGCGCAGTCTAGTGTCGGGGACCAGAGCGAGGAGGGCTTCCTACAAAATGTCTGATCTTTCGACCAACAGCGCTATCTAATATCGAACAGAAGAATTAAGCTTTCTTGTATATAAATTATATAAAATAAATAGATTGAATAATTTTTAATTTAGAACTTTATGATAATTTTTTAAGAATATTTAAACTATTAAATAGTTTATACACCTACATCTTAAAACTAGACTGATGTTGTTTGGCGAAGACTGAAATGAAGCTGAAAATATACATGTATTTCAATCCTACCTACTAAGTTTAGTTGACCCAACCCACAAAAGAGATTAGATAGAAGAGATTAAGAAGAGATTAGATAGAATAACAAATTCTTGAAAAGTAATTGGTAACAAATCATTTACTCTGTTTGCCCTGCTAGCTTGAATTTAGTTCAAGTTGTATGAATTTCAACTCGAGTTAGCGCATTTATAGGGTCACATCGCTCATTAATCCCTTACCGCATGAACTATTAAAGAGATGGAATAAAATTTTTATTTTTTGCGAATAGTTGTTTATTTGAGCTTACATAATAAGATCAAATTGAGAAAAATAATTAACTTATATTATAAAAGTTATTACACGACGCCATATATGGCTTCATATGCTTTTTAACCAACTAATTTTCAGCCAGATGCTTCGTATGCATTTAGGGAAAAACTAGTTTATGCTACGTGAAATTCCTTATAACAGTTGCGTTTGTCATTATAACACAAAAACACAACAGTTTTCACATAATGTGAAAGAACGAAATCAGCTCATGCTCCTGCCCCTGTCAGCTGATATAGCAAATTAGGTCCTAGCAGAGATAATCGTCCAAAACCGGCCACGTGCCACGTCCGCCATCTTCTTTTGGTTGTAACTAGCTACGCACATACAGTCTACTGTTCGGTTCAATCCAGAACACCTATTATTAATCTCACATACAAATCTCGGGGTCATTATTCCCGGAATCGAACCCGGGACCCTATGGCTCAACCGTTTTGTGGTTCCTTCGCTCCAGATACGAAGGGAAACCTAGTAAACCTAACCATTTTGTGACTATCCATTTCTGGATTCAAACTCAGGGACCAGTAGCGTCATCATTTTGTGGCCCTTCATTCCAGATTTAGAATCAGCTACCCTACCGCTCCACCATTTTATGGTCTTTCGAGCCGTATTTGGAACTGGCGTCCTGTGGCCTGATCGAGTCGAACTGCTAAACCAATTTGGACAATGCACTCTAGTTTGTTTGCGCCTAAATTTCTAGATAGATTTAGTTTCGCTTAGCACTACTGGGGTACTGCACGCCGTATTGTTGAAAATTGCAAATAGTTAAAATTTCGACCATTGTAACTACACTCGCATACACTAGGTAAATGGACGCTTGTTGCCCGAACCACAGCAGTTTTCTGTTTACCTATTTCCGCAATTTTTAATATTTATATGAATTTATAAACATAGTGCATTCTTGCATAAATACTTGTTTTGATTTGGTTAGTATACGCTACAAATAACACCTTCTAAATTCTTTCGCAGTCGTATAATATAGAGGTTTTTAAGACAAGGAAGTGTCCGCCACGCTGTTGGCGGTATTCACAGGTCTGCAAAATATTTTTTTTGTCAGACATGCTGGTTTTCTTGCAATGTTTTCTTTTACCGCCGAGCACTTATATACAAACTCGTCTAATTATCAATAGTTTGTTATCATCGGAGAATTTTACATACACCCATACAAAATGACATACAAAATGAATTGTTACATCTCGTTATATCGTGTAGATTCAATATCATTTCGTGGAAAAGAGATACGTCACTGGCAAAGCATTGCCGGATTTATTATAGTTTCGGACACATTTAACGTTCGGGTTAGTTGTTAACCTCGTACGCTGTGAAACTTCTGTTTTCTATCGCTACGCAATTTGTTTTGTGTTGGTTTAATATTAGTTACTGTACTGCAAGATGGCAGTAAGTGCAAATAAAATGCGACTTAAAACCCTTTACGCTAAAAAAAACATGTTATTTTCTCGTACACAACACATCAGTGATCATATAAAAAATATTATTGTAGAATCAGTTCGGGAAACATTTTAGTGTGAAATCGAAACAGTGGATTCATTGAGATTAGATTATGAAAGTGTGTTGGACAACATTAATAGTCTTGAACTGCAAATGGATACCGATTATGTAGCTAATTATCAATCGCTTATGGTCTTCGAGGATTTATTGTGTCGCGTAAAACGAGCGCCCAAGCAGCTACAACCTGCAGCCCAGAGCGATGTAAAGCCAACAGTTCAAGTACACTCACGCGACTCACTTCGATTGGCACCTATCGATATCCCAATATTTAATGGTGATATTAAAACTTGGCCGTTATTTATTACTAGTTTACAGAATACTATACATAATAATCCCTCTTTATCGGACGCCGAAAAATTATATAATTTAATTGACAAGCTAAGTGGCAAGACGCAATCTATGTCCGGGTTTCACACCGACATCAAACAACTACTCGTTAATTTTCGAAACGCTTAGAAATAAATATGAAGATAAGCGAATCTAGACCAAATATTCGATCTTAAAGCTATGTTGTCCGAGAATATCAATAGCCTCGAACAATTTTTGGATACATTCATGACATCGGTAACCGCTCTCAAAAATCTTAAATTTGATGACCTTGTGGACTTTATGTTCTAACATATTGCGTAAAAGAAGCTAAACCCGGACACCGTGCGTTCGTTCGAAATGGAGAACTGTACCCCAAACCTACCATTGTTTGAAATTTTGGCTTCTTTTGTTCGAGACCAAATCAAGGTAATGCAGCACTAGTCCCAGCACCACTATTCCAGGTAAGACACACCATCGACGACAATACTACACGTGTTTCCCCTCTACACGAGGCATCTTCAGGTAATGTAGACTCTTCGGCGACTGACCACTAAGTGAGCGGCGAGCCGAAACAGCTGCTTTTTATACACGCCGACACAACCACTCCCCACCAAAGTAGCGAGTGACCGCGCCGCGCGATATCAAACCTGCGACTAATTGT